GTTAATACTCTTACATACAAAAGGGATGCTCTTGAATAAAAGAGGAAAAAATAATGTAGGTACAATATCAATAGAAGTTTTTTTTTATATGAGAACGGATTAATAAGGTCGTATGCCGAGGTACCACTGTATACAAAAGCTGACACGAGTAGAAATACTTCGAAACATGTTCGAGAAAATTAGCAAACTTTGTTTTAATCGTGCCATATTTATAGAAAGTATGTCGCGCGAGGATAAATCATTAGAATGATCGAGCATATTTGACGTCGATGGAAGAAAATCTTGTTGAATCGATACATGATTCTGAAACGCTCGATACAATGATTCACAGAGACGGATTGTCGCGTGCTAAAGCACTCAATTAAGCTCATTGAAAGCGACTCTCGTCGTTACTGTTGGCTACGCAAACATATCAAAACCCGAATCAAACGAATTACTGCCGATAATCGTACCCTTTGCGCGAACGATCGACTCGTGCCTGGTGTATCGATGAGACGACTACTCGAAACCGACTATTCCAGGTATTTCATACATTTATCGCAAACGACATACCGTTTCCTCGGTGCATCGAATAGCTGCATGTACCAAAATGTTCTATACCCCTTACTCCCCTTAAAAGCTCTAATCCCTTTACATATCTCTCACGTGAGTTTAAGATAATTTCTTAACCCAGACTTAATTCTTCCCAGACGAAACTTTGAAACTTCCTGACAACGAATAACTAAAAAGATATAACCAATAAATCATTATTGTTTACAGTGATAAAAATATTGGAGTCACGTACGCATCGTAAACCCGATCGTAACCACATACGGTAAAAAAACTTTATTTCAATCTCTAAAATTCCATGGATAATTAACTTATTTATGAGTCGAATTTGCGCGTGCATTTATCTGTCGCACAAAAAGCTGCTATCTTCTGCCGTTCAAAAGTCATGGTCCACACGTGGACCACACTTTTTTCCCCTAACAATATATTTAACTGACATTTCGATAAAGCGACGACACCGACGGTCATCGACTACTTTGATTACAACATTTATTCAAACTTATCAAAAACGTAGATAGTTAGGACATTGCTGAACAATCAACGTACGTAAGGAGAAAGAAATATTGTTTTAATCACCTGAAGCGTCACCGTTGCGAAGGTTGGAATTCATTGACAGCATTTATTGCGATCGACTAGATAGCTTTTGATATCGCAGTTGGGTTTAAACGCCGCCACAGATGTTAATTATTAATCAAACGAGGCGCTTTTATCGCTACGAAATACGGCTTAATCCGGCCGTTTAATCGACGCTGATTACGACATCGGCATTGCGCAACGTTCACTATTTGAAATGTTTTCCATCAAGATTGAAAGAATGACAAAGTAATTGACCGGCCAATGGAAACGAACCATTAAACAGAGACTAAATTAGACGCGAGTAACGAGCCTAATTTTCTTTGTTCTCGGAACTTTTCAGAATTTCAATTGGGAAATGTTTAATCCCTCCGCTAAACGCTCTGTGTACCAAGGAAAAATTCTCTTTTTACACAGATTAGCAAATTACACCATTAACTGTAATTAATAAAAATTGTCGTAATTACAGGTAATTAGCTGGTCGATTCTTTCGAATTGTTTGACAGGGTTCCGGAGACAATGCGGAGAGGCATTAATCTCGCGCAAAGAAATGAGTCACACTGACAAGTGAATGAGTCTCACAGTTTGCTCAGTTTGTACAAGTCGAAGGGATCTAGCAGAATAAATTTGAACTGCGCACCACAAAATGTTGAACGCATTCTTTCTTAATTACGTCAAGAATCTTTCAACCTAACAGTTCTACTGCGAAATACTGATAGGGAAATGGGAGAAAGCACTTGGCCTCCTGAGTCTTCTAATGGACTATCGCTCAGGAAAGCTACCTAACAAGTTCGGTAGTTACAAGTTACTTAGCCTAGTTTACACTGTTATGAAGGGATGGTAAAATTGATGGAACTCAAGGTAACGTCAGGTGACCCATCCTCTATATAGGAATGGATAGCAAAGAGGACCTGCGAGAAAGTATACGTACATGGTATCGATGTTCCTCTGGTGGCGAAGGAAAAGAATATACAGTTTCGAGTTTCTAGGTTTATTCTCGAAGACAGGTATACCTTGGAATAAAAGCCGGTCGAGGTAAAGGTTTCGTGGTTAAATTAGCCACGAAGACGTTTCTAATGGCTTCGCCAGGCCACGTGTAAACCTTTGTTTACACTGACGCGACGGAAGTACCTGTCGACCAATGTGTACGACTTCTTGTTTTTTCTATAAACAAACGAGAAAATCGTCCCGACTATTTGTGGTGGTCGCTTCCTTTGAATCAGTCGTTATTTGTCGCCGTAAATATTTCATCTTGCGATTCATCTTCCGTTCGTGAATAAATATATTTATGATAATTAACTATTTTTCTTTCTTTATTTCTTTTTGCTTTTCGAAGGTGAATAGCCACGTGGCCAATTTCACTGGGACGAAACTTTAAAGTGCCTTCAAGGAATACAGAATGATTTGTCGCAATCGATTCGATACGTGTGTATCGAATAAGTGTGCCATTTATTACTGGCCCGTTGCTCGTGTCATGGAATGAAAAAGGATATTTCATGGGACACAGATTAGCTAGCGATGGCTTCGAACGATCAAGCTATCGTACTTTTTAAAGTTCATTCAGAATTTAGTAAATATCAATTTCGGCAGTACTTTTAAAACGTCTAATACTTTTTATCGATGCTTAGTAGATTTTCAAATATTCGAGTTTAGCGAAATCATTTTCAATTTGACAGAATTTGAACAATTCTTAAAGCACTTAATGTTCCCAAGCAATTAACGCTTCGAGACTTTTCAAATATTTGAGATTTATTCAAATTATTCTGAGGTTAAACGGTAGTGAATTCTAAATGGTTCTTAAGTAGTTGACCAGACTTCTTAAGATACTCAGGTTTATTTAAATGATTTTTGGAGCAACCGGCTGGTCGTTACAAAATGTTATTTTTAAACCACGTAACGTTTCAAAGTCTTTGAATACGAATTGCTTAAAAAACTCGTGATAGACTCGAACGCCCACTGTGAATAAAAACGTATCGCGATAACCGATGGTTACCCGGTTACTTCGATAAGGGAATAACTTCCAAACATTTGCAAACGCCCCGTGATAGATCAGCAAAAGAATTCCTTCAATTCTCACGTTCGCGCCAGATAATATAATAACGTGTACGTTCATGGTTTACCAAAAACCTTGCACAGTTGAGAAAGGTTAATATACGAAGCAAACATACCCTCGGCGCAAACAATCCGAAGGTTAGATTACAAAAAAGAAAATGTTTTTATACGGTTCGTGCATTTTATCGTAATACCTGTATTATGCGGAATCAATGAGAAACACAATTACAAAAATATGAAAGAACCATAGCTCATCGAGTGATGAGTTATCGATCGTGAGAGACGTACCGATTTCAATTAAAGGTCTCTTTTCAAATATTTCCCTCAAGCGAACATTTAACGCATTCATAGTTACTGAAATATGTAACTGTGCCCATAAGCTGCTGACGTACTTATACGTCTTCCAATATTTTTGCTTTGAATTAATGAAACTAAACTTGAATAGAGATTAAATTAGTTCCAATTTCTGATTAAATTCATAGCGGGAAAGATTCTTTCAAATTGAAACAAATTTTGAAACAATCATTTAGCAACAAGCTAAACGAGTACAATAAAACTCATAGAGAGTGGAATTTTTTAATATTCCAAGAATATCTGTCGTTAACAAAATTGCGATATAATTTTCAACGAACCTCATGCGCTGAAAGGTTAGCGAGTAATTTTCTTACGGAATTTAGATAAAAAGAGGAACATTCTTCCGCGCGGAAATGTGTCATCGTTATATATACATATGTACTATTCCAGGTATGGATCTGACAATGAGTGTGCATTTCGTTCAACGTAACCACCATCGTAACGAGTCAACCTATCATGGCGTAGGCCATTTTATGGTAACTAATTGTTTGAAATTGCATATGTATATGTATATTTGCAAATCGACAAATTCGTAAGACTCGGATAACATACGACCCTCCCAACGAACCAAATCAAAAATAGATTCACGTAAGCTGTTGTCACTGACAAGTCATACGTTAAGTCAACGATTTTGCTACATTTATTTCCAGGTACAACAGATTACTATATGTACGATGTATCATTCCTAATATAGAAGAATGTTTTGCTGTTCCATTGAAATTCTTTTGCATCTGAAATTCCATGCACGCCGTTAGCTATGAATTTCAGGGAAACGTGAGAAAAGCGCAATACAGGTCCTATCTATAGCCTCGCACACGTGCACACGTGAAGTACGTGTATACATCAGCGACGGTTGTTTGAACGTCAGCGCATGTCAAACGTCTGAAAGTTTAAAAAATCAGCGAAACACCGTTACGTCGTTTTTTGGGCCACAGCCTTTTCGCAGAAAATATATTTCGTAACGGAGGTAATCACCATGGCACGGCAATAATCGCTCTCTCTTTCTTGTAAAAAATATCATGCCCGATTACGCACGAGATTTTTGCAGCAAGATCAACCTGACCGATGAAAAAGAACGAATCGATCGTGCTTGAAATTGCAACCTCGGATACAATAGATTCAAACAATAAACGGCGTGCTTTTAAAGGCACAGAGTATCGATTAACAACGCACGTCAAGCTTGAGCGGTAAAACGTTTCTCGTAGACTGATGTCAACGGCGCGACTTCGATCGAAAACCGTTAACGATAATTATCAACGCTACATAAAGTACAATGACCATGCGATCAATCATCCATGCGTAATCGTTCATGATAAATCGATAAATTTAAACGAAATGCGAGGAAAGGCAATTATAAGTTACACGTGGGATGCCAAACGGTCGGAGACGAATCTTCTAGACTAGTGTGAAGGAACTTTTACCATAAGACTAAACTATCGACCGATGAAAGAAAAATCTTACTGTTTACATACCCCTCTCGAAGTTTGATTCAAGTCGAGCCGTTCCTCGAGTTAGCGTGGCCGTTTGGCCTCGATCGACAAAAGAGATGCGATTCGAACGGTTTTCCGGTGGATTTCTTCGTTGCTTCTAACCAGTCGTCGAACGTACAGTCATTGTTTTCGGGCGACACCGCGTTGCCAGGAGAGTCGGTTAGAGTCTGTGTGTAACAACTCTTGTTTTTCAACCGGCACGCACACACGCGTACACAGGTCGAACGCACGGGAACCGTGTTCACGAAAGCACAGTCACTGACAGACTGTTCGAAACTGTACGAGCTGGCTCTGGACGCCGTTTACGACTTCCCTGGGGAAACGTTTATTCGATCTTCCTTTCTTTCTTTAACCGCGGCGACCGGTGCACGCGGCTGAAGACGAACGACAGGGACGAACAAAGATGGTGGGAAAGGAGAGAACGAAACAGAATCAAATTTCTGCGCCAGCCAATCGCGGCGCTCCGTTCATTCTCGCGCGAAAACCCCGAACTGACTGGCGTGACGCGTAATTATTACGCACTACCGTTTCCTTTGAATTCGCACGTACTTCTGGGCGGGACATTTCCTACAATTGAATACGGTTACGCAATTATTCAAAACATGGACCGTAAATTCCATTATTAATATAGGATAATTGTCGACATTTTTTGTTTTATAACTTCTAACCTGTTAAGCTACGTCGCTTCCCGAAAAGCGCGCCAAAAGTGCGCAATATGAACTAAGTTGTACTGTAAAAAGACAGAAGCTGGAAAATGATAAAGCATGCAATAATTTGTAAGTGGTGTTAACAATTAAGAAGAGATGAGTTTACAATTTCAAAATAAACGACTCGTAAAGAAAGGAGGGACAGAAACATGGTTGTTAAACAAGTCACGCTCGTTGCAAAAAAATGTACATTACGTTTATTGATGGTAGCTCGCGAAGCTCCTCGTGAATATCGAGTGGATTACAAAGAGGCGCTTGGGTTCGAAGTTGCCGGATTAATTCACTTTAGCAATATTTATTTAGCGAAACGACGGAACTCGATCGAGTGTCGACGTCGTTCATCCTGTGTTTCTTTTATATTCTTCCTCTCTTTACTTTGACAAAAACGAAAACGAAAAAAAGTCCGCTACGGACTATACAGGATGTTCGACTAAGGGTGGTTTGAGAAGGTGGTAGCTATAGTAATTCTGAATAATTTTATTATTAATAAAAAAAGACACCAAACAATCAGAGCGCGTGAGCTCAGCCACGAGAGTGTCGGCTACGAACTGAGCTCACGAACAAACTACTCGGTGTACGTCAGTTCGTACCCGACACTCCCGTGGCTGCGCCTGCGCGCTGTGCACACTACTTGCTTGGGTGTTTTTCATTAATAATTCAAAAACTAAGCCTTGACGAGCATTTTGGTAAAGGAAAAAATTGTTCAGAATCACTCCAGTTATCATCCTGTCAAAGTTCATCCACAGCTGAACACCCTATATAATAAAAATTGCTACGACGTTCCTTCTCTATCGTCCGTTTGTTCTTCTCTTTTTTCTTATTTCGATTTCGCCAAGTTTACCCTCTTCTTATCCATCCCTCTCGCAGTGTCTCGAACGAAGAGACGAGGAGCGGTAAGGATGAAGGAAGAGGGATTTTTGGTAACCGGAAAAAAGGGGGATGTTATACACGAAACATTAATAATTCTCGTTTCGATTGATACAGGCAAAATGCTACGGGCTTGTTAAGGACTGTGACCGTTTACATTTATAATAATTCCGTGGTAATATTTATATATATATATATACTTTAACGTACAAACTATATCGTACCTTAGTAACTTCTAACGCAAGGGTACAAGGGGATGAGAGGGGGCGTAATATATTTACACAGCCTAGGACCATCTTCACAAGGTCCAGGGTTATACACGCGACAGGGTTTTCTTAAAGAATTGTTTCACTGGACTCCGAAGAAATGAACTTCTTCATCTTCGCGATCGTAAAACGATGAGACATGTGTTCCTCACACATTCCTATCAACTAATTATCAACATTTATACATAATACAACCAAGTTCCTCGCACACGCACTCTCATCAGTCTCACTCGTTGGGTCGGATGTCGACGTTCTTTTTCTCGCCCATTTTCATTCGATTATCCGATGATTACATCGTATGATTCTATTTAGCAAAACCTGTCCAATAATTTTCGCTCGTACAGCGATACGAAATGGGTATACGGATATCACTGCTAATTCAAACGAAACCCTTTCACTTGCTCTCAGTCTATAGAATTAGCTCGATAAAAAAAACAGCAGGAATACGTAAGAAATTGTTAAATAGACGTTACACGTGGGTAAACGAACGTGTCGAGTGAGGGGAATACGATTTCGATTTGTACTTGAGAAATCATAACGGAACCGAGCTGTGCTAATGTAAACAATTCTATTGATGAGACCTGACGTGACGATATTTACTTCTACGCAATAAATAACAAAACGGGCTTCTCTTTATTGCAAATTCCATAAAAAATAAGAAAACCCTTAATGCTGCACATTGATACGATTTCGTTTCCACGCACGAACGAACCCTTTTTATTTTCTCTCTTTGTTGGAAAGAAAAGTGTTCAAGCGCAAAAGAACGCAAGGTGACATGGCACGATAGCTTAATTATTAAAAAAGAAAAAGTAGAGGAAACGGATACGGTACTTACAACCCTTTGCACTTGAAACGTTTTACATGTTATCTTCCTGTCGTGGACATTCATCGACGATTCGTTGGATACTAAAGGTTCTAGTGTAACGTTATAAACGAACGACAGCATTGTATTTGTTGACATACAAGTACAACAGGTTCTCAAGACTGTAAGACGCGTCGCAAAAGTAAAGGAAAATTCTAATTAATTCGCCAGTTTTCATACGTATTTACAAGACGCCTGTAAATGGACATCTGGGATGTAATTAACACACTCGTGACCGTTTTTTATTTTAAAAATTTACAAATTTATAGTTTCATTTCAATTATAGTTTCAATGGTAACTAGAAAATAGATTTTCCAATTTTATTTTCCTATCTTTCATTAAAAAGTTTTACTACTCTCAGATTAATGATCGCATCAGATTGATCGGTCACGAAAGTGTTAATTGTTAATTGTTACAATTCGCGTATCACGCGTATCGCAAAACCTGTCTCGTCATAAATCGCAACATGATTCGCGTGATAAGTCTTTCTGGGAGTAGTGTATCTGAAACACTACACTAGCTGCAATTCTCTGTCGTTATATTAAAATAAGAATATATAAAATTATAAAACTATCAACAAATGTACACGTCGACAGACAATGCCTCGAAAATGATAAAACTTGTCAAGGAAACGAGGGAATGCATCATCGTCTTTCGGGTCTGGATAACATTTGGTACAACAGGTGTGCCAAAAATCTTTTTGGAAATATAGGCCAACGATAAATTATAAATTATTAACGTTTCTTGTTCTCGTTGTTAGATTAGATCGCTTCTTAATTACTTATTTCGATGCTCTTGTTAAACTGAAAATACAACCGATGGGTAAAATAAAAAGAAGTTGATTCAAATAAATTCCACCCGAAAGTCGACGATTGCGGCAACACAATACGTGTACGTAAGATTGAGCTTTGGTCGAGGTGACCAGTTTTGTGCAATGAAAATGTGAAGAACAAAAGGAGAAAAATTGTGTCAATTTTTCGCGCATGTAATTCACCGATTTCTTCTTGATTATCGAGGGTAACTTTTTCGTACTGACTAAACTAAGAATCTTTCTGAGTGAACTCAACGATCCACTAACTATCTGTACTTTCTGTATTTTTTTTTAACCCTTCCATTAGAGACCACTGAAATTTGATGAATAGTACATTGATGCGTATATACGTCGTCTGCAGCGAAAGGGTTAAACGTAGTGTCCAAAAGGGGATTGTTCTAAATAGTTATTTCTTTTTTTTTTTCTGTTTCTTCTTTATATCAATGTTTAGTTAAAAACGATCTAGAACCCTGAGATACGAATTCGAAAACCTTAATACGGTTAATCTATTACTATCAGAAAATTGGCCAAGTGATAAGTTTTCTAATGGTTTCCAAAGTGTACCCTCTCAGCACGCAATAAATTGTCAATAGTGACTCAAAATGAGCCATTCTCCTTCAAAGGATTAAACACCTGTGTCAACTGAATGGATTAACGAATAAAGTATACGTTTTCAATGTATACAGACGCTGTGTTTATCGCGTGCCGCAGAATATAAATATGAATATTCGAGGTATAAAAGTGCGGTGTTGTGCGCAACGCAGCTAAACGATACTAAATATTTTTTATCGATTTGAAAACACAATAAGATTCCAAATTGATATATACTTGAAAATATCGTTGTACGATACCAACAACAGAAAAATTGACCCGGAACGGAGTTCCATAAAATTCTTAGTCAGAGCGATAGCGAACCGTGTACAGGGTATTTCATAATTAAATAATTAAATTTTGTTAGAAAACGTAGCAAGAAAGTTTGACCCTTTAAATTTAAAACATCCTGCACGTGAAAATTTCGGCGTCAAATACGTTAGAAAATACGTGTGTCGACAGTTAAAACCATTTACGTTTCATTACATTAGTATGATTACGTTCAGCTAATCGTTACCTTTATGTAGTAAAAAATCGTTAAGCTACACCAGTCTACGATAAAGTGCGTATCAAATTCTCTTCTCGTTTCTTTTAACTTCTTCTAACAGACGTCAGATAATTTTTGCATATCTGTATTCTCCAGAGTGTATCTGTATCAACAGAGTGTAATCCTTTTATGAAATTCACCTCTGTCTACGTTTCATGTATATTATTTCATTCATAAAAAAGCTCACTACCGTTCTGAGGTCGTTGATGATGAATGATACTGTTCGTCGGTTTAACATTCAGGTAAATACAATGTATAAAACCACGATTCTAACTCGATTCTGAGCTGTATATCAATCGTGACAGTCTGAATAGTTTTGCGCGTTAAATCCTTCGTTGGTAAAATACGTATAATTACGTAAAATCATCTCAACACCTTTGAGCATCAACGATGCTCTGTGCGTATCGTTTCTAAATCATTTTACATACAGAATTTTCTCTGCTAGACGTCGATTCTATCGGAGATTCACGTACGAAACGGGTCTATTAATATCGTGTCCCAGTTTGTCATACGCGATGCTTGTTCGCACGAAATTGCTTCGAATATCATGACAAAGAGAAATATCATGTATCCTCCAGGATGACGGACGATTCCGAATTTCCAAGTGCAAACAAGCTGCTTTCGTTACATTATTAACGTGGGAATAAAAGATTCGAATATGCTCGTTAATACAGATTGTTTAGGGACGACGTTTGTTTTAAAAATACGTAGAGTCCTAGTAATATACTCCAAGTTCGTCTCTTCCGAAGAGAACGTCTTCCTCGAGGAAAGACTATTTGAGATACAGCTTGTGACTTCGAGTCGAGAGTACTTCCGAGTACTGGAGAATACAACACCAGTCTCGCGTGGTTCAGCACGCAATAAGTTTGTCACGTCTTTTGACATCGTTCACATGTTGTACGCCACATAGATAGGATCCAACTGATCCGCCAGAAAACCGTCCCGCAGGTGCATTCGTTGCTTCTCACCGCGGGAATTAATCGGGACCACTCCGGGATCCACGACCACCACTACACCGACTACCAGATGATGCTCTTCGAGAACGGCACTGGTGACCAATGCCACCAGATCTAATGCTTCGCTTTCGCTTCCGTCAAGCTCTACCACCACCACCAGCAAGTTGGTCCATGTGAACACGGCACTGTGAATTATAAAAATTACATTTTTCTTACCTTTTCTTACCGAATGACCTCAGTATCCGTCTCGTATTTTTACTTACCATTCTGCTATTTTCTTGTGACACCTCATCACGCTATTCTCAATATCGATCGGGTGATACCGCATTCCTCTGAGAAGAATAGCCTCGTCGAGAGCGCCAACGACGAACACGGCGTCGTGTAATTCAGCATCGCCGGGAACGAGATCCGCTTCCGCGGCGGAAGTGTCCCCGGGAACGTCACTGATAACCGACTGCTGAACGCTCTCGGTACGTCGCAAGAAACCGAGATAACCAGTTCTGGCGTACACCTCGTTCGTGTTTCCTGTTACCAAACGGGCGTTGAAATGATCCGCGTAATCGCTCTCGTCACCGTATATCGTGAAATAACCACTGGCGTTATGAGCCGACTGCACCCAGATTTCACCCAAATGAGAATCACCGCATTGTCCTTTCGTTTCTGGATTGGCGATGATTACTTTCACTCCGGGAAGTAGTTTTCCTGATTCCATCAAACACAGAGAATGAGGGCTACCTCTTTCGACCAAAGATACTCGATCATTGCGTAACGCGCGAAGATCTACGTATACCGTTGAAGGTTCCGGACTCGACGCACCCTGTTTTAATAATAACATGTAGTGTAAGAGATATTGCACAAGAATTATAGTCATCAAGTAATTACCTGTAGGCAAATAGCCGTGTTTACCCTACACCCGAAGGAAGTGGACACGGCACGCGGACTAAGTCCCAAAGCTGAGAAAAGTTTACTAAAGCTCGTGGTCAAAGCGATTCGTGGCCTCTCTTCGGCAACGACTACGCACGTTCTAACACAGGCTAAACTGACGCCTCTAGCTTTCAGAGCGTGAACAGAGGAACCCAGCCCCTTTGTGCACAGTTCCATTACGCCGTAAGAGCAAAACGTGTCTCTTACTCGAGACTGGCTAACTGCCGATAACCACAACGCTGGGTTGGCTTCCACCTATGAGACATGAAATTATAAAAACACGTTTCTTTCGCTCTAAAGTTCTCAGAATGTGGTGTAAATACGGACCTCCGACGGAGGTATAAGTATGGAATGATGACCGCTGTATATACTGCTCAAACACCATAGAGCGAATCCTAATCCAGAATAAGGATCCAAACACAGAGCGATGTGCCTAGATGGATACAATTCGCAGGCTAGTTTCATGGCACGGCACAAAGACGTCACTGCTGCGTGAGACATTTTTATTCCTGCAAGCATGCCTGTAGTCGAGACGCTGAAGTCTAGGTAAGCCAACATCTCCGCCGTAGGTGCTCGATACATAACAGGTAGCTTCTTCTTTGGCATGTCATCCATATCGAGAATCGTCGGCCAGCTCTTTATGTCAACGACATTGTTCGCCTCCTGCGTTGCGTCGTCAAATAGAATCATTAACATCAAAGTGTTTTAAATGAGAATTACAGAAATAGCGATGTACCTTTGTTTTCAGCAGTTTCAAGATATTTTGATTCGTCAGCACGAGCACAGACTTACTAACGTCTACGATCATGCGAACGGTTGGCAGAGTGGTTTGAAGGTTTTGCGGATGAGGTGGCCTGATCGTAACTGGCACGGCTCCAACGTATAGACAACCATAAAATGCGCATATCAAGTCTGTACCAGGCGGAAATATTAACGCAACGTGATCTCCTGTATTGATTCTTCCGCGATCCAACAAAAGATTCCCGATTCGTTCGGCTTTCTTGTGTAATTGCGAGCAAGATAAGGATGTTGCTACTGCTCCTTTGGCGTTCAACGACGTGAAGATTACATGGTCGGAGGTACTGACAGCACGCCATCGAAGAATCTCCGAGATGAACTGATACTGAAATTCAGTATACGATAGGTAAACCACGAAATGGAGAGGAAAGAATTTTCAAAGGAGAACGATGAATCTGAAGGCACTTCGAACGACTTGGAAGTCTTATTCAGATTTCATCGTTCTCCTTTTTTTTTAGAAGATCGTCGCAGACACAAACCTTTTTCGCGTTATCACTATCCTCGTCCAATACACCCATGTCACGTCCTTGAGCAGAAGCCAATCTATTACCCTGAACAATGTTGCCCACCATCACACTGGCCGGACCAACGTCTGCAACAGAATCCCCCGCTACACGCCCCCGCACCATTCCGTTAGTAAACCAACACAAACACTCAACCCAATAATGAGTAGCTCACACACTCTCCCCTGACTGAGGCCGGAAAATCAAAGCTAAGTGTACAAGTGAATCGGTTTTCGTTATTGCAGATAGCTGATTAACGCACGTCCTTTTATAGAGGCGTGCTTCGAGCATTCCATCAACTGTACATACTCAATTAAAAAGAAATTGAAAAAAAAAATTAAATTTAGTGCTTGTTTTGAAAGTATACGTTGAAACAGCGATGTGAAATTAATCGAAAGCAGTCGCGTAAGAAACGGTACAAGGTCCAATTACAGTCGTTAATGTTTCGAATCGATTGTACGGTATTACTTCTATAAGGTGGACCTCCCCTTGTAACTGGTACACACCTTGTCATTAATAGAGGCATTACTGTACAAATAAGTGAAACGAGATCTCACATCGCCAAAAGTAATTCGTTTAGAGGCTTGGACCACTACAGGGTATTCGGAACTCAGCCAAAAGAAAGAAGGGCGAAAATAATAGAAATAACATGCTAAGCATTAAGTGTTTTTAGTGTAGGGCAGATTAACGATACATGATATGTAGCAAGAGACAGTTGTATATATACTTTGTACAATCTGTGCTAAGTTACTAAAGCCTACCCGATGACTTTTGTAAGACAAGCGCAAGTGTTACGTTCCTTTCTCGTTAATCAGTATTTTCAAACCAGAGCGAGATCCGTGATTGTAAATTATATTCCAAAGAAATTCTTCTCATTCATTCTCCCATAATCATTCTTCATATCAAAGCGAAATGATCCAAACAATTGATCCGTCCCTTTAACCTCGTCAGTTAATCGTTTCGAACCAATGAAATTTCGTACCAATTCTTTGGATCTTCGCTTGTACATTATAATACGTAAAGAAATAAACGAAGAAATGTTACAATATATAAAATAGAACGTATATATGTCTTTGTACTTGCTGACATTCATGTAATTCATTGAAAGTCCATTATTTCTATCGGACACCCTGGGATAGAGATACTCGCATCTGAATGTGCGAACCGCTTACCTGAATGGACTTCGCGTGGTTTTGGTAGATTGGTAACGCAAGTGTGCGGACAAAGTAGAACGTTAGCCGGGTGTAGGGTACCCTCTAGGAAGCGTCGTTTTGTTTCCGACAGATGAATACCACCTAATGGTGTTTTGGGGAGGTGGTTCGGCGGTACCAACGCTAGACAGTATATTCCAACCGCGTGAATCGAATCTACCGCTTGAAGGACCCGCGACATCCATTGGAAACTCTGGAAAAAATAAAGATCAGAGTTGAATTTGTTAAAAGTAACACAAAGCTATTATACTTGGGTAGTATAAGGATAAAACGTACTTCTTCTTCGCTGCAATCGGGTCGTTGTTCCGCAACGACGCATATTCTTTCGTCTCTCAAGACCCGTACACTGAAAACGGCTATTCTACCACGGTAAATGAACTTCATCGGTTCGACGGCCAGTACCGTAGCTATGATATCGTCGGCGTTGTGCTTCCTTCCGGTGACGGTCATGAGACCATCGCGAGATCCACAAACGAACACTAGGCCACCAGGACCCAAGAAACCCAACAGACCAGAACGAGTGTACTCCACGTCACCAAGAGGAGTTCCATCAGCTTGAAGAGGAGACACTTTAAACGTGTTGTTCGTCAATCCTTGCAATCCCCAGTATTGGTTGCCAGTCGCTGAACTGTGGACACAGATTTCGCCTACTTCGTCGGTTTTACAGATGAACGGTTGACCTTCCATCTTGATCACGACCACGATACCTGATGACCAAACATAAATTCAATTCGTTAACATCTTTGATCGCCTGACGGGTCCATTAAAAACGCGCAAACATTTAAGATACAAACTTCCAGGCATGACTTGTCCGCAGTCTTGAAGCGTCAAAGAAGTAAGCGAATTCTCCTGATCCACCCTGACAACTCCGTAACTCAGTCCAGACATGGACAATACACCACGCCCAGTAGCGTTCACTCCAGCCCGTCCCGGTCTTCTCACAGAAACGGTGAGCGCTTCGCTGGAGGAAGCGCAAGGGCACACAGCATCCGGTCTCAAGCCTTTAGATTGAAATACCGAGAGAAACTGATCGCAAGACGAAAGGGACCATGGATTAGCACCGTCAGCGACCAACAGCAGCCTCAACGATGACAAAGAGATATCTTTGTGATCCTTGGTCGCCAGTAGACCCCAGTGAAGATCCCGTGACTTCACCACAGCCACGCTGGCGCGATGTTTCGTGATCATTTGCATCCAGCTTGCTGGATTCACTTTCATCAGGGCATACGGGATAAAGATCACGTGCATCCCGTTCAGAATGCTGGTCAGGGTGCTGTGCCAGAGACCAACCTCTCGTTTGAAGTCCAATACGCATACCGCGTTCTCTCCCTCCGTGTAACCACAGGCTTGGGTCAGAGCTCGACAATGGGCCAGCATCGCGGACCTGGTCACCGTCACTCCCATCACCGAGCCATCTTTGTCAGTCGTGTACTCGATATACGCTGGTGTGTCGTCGGTTAATCGAGGCGGCGGTAGCCAGTCTTTCGGTGTCTTACCCAAATGTTCGGTTACAAACCAATGGAGCTTTGGCCAGCCTTTGAAAGCCACCACTTCACCAGCCGCGGTCTTCGGGAGGCCTTTTAGACAAGCCTCGCTGGTCAACGCCACCTGCGATAGATTTTCAAATACGGGGTTTTACTATGGCGAAGGGAACCAGGGACACTGGGAATCGAATAGCGGATAGTATCGAAGCTACCTGAATTCCACAGCTTCCCAGGAGAAAACCAATTTGCTGGGAACCCGCATCTCGACGCGTAAGCGGGACTTCGATCGGCACAGGTACAATGCCAGCCTGGAGGCAACCGTAAAAGGCGCACATGAAACTAATCGGGTCGTTGTTTGGATAAACCAAAGCGATCCGATCTCCTGGTTTCAGACAGCAATCGCCGCCACGACTTAGAGCCTTGTTTAGCAGCGTATAGGCTATTTTATGAGAACGACTGAGAAGTTTTCCATAGGTAAGCGTTACGCAAAGTTTGCCGTTCGGATCTAGAACGGTTGCCACTGGTGCTTTGTACGATGCTGAACCGTACCTACGAATAAACGAGAAACTTATTGCTATCTGTATAAACTGTTACCGTTTCACAAGCGGAAGCTAAAACGTTGTCTTAGACGAAACTATATTAGTTGAAAAATATAAATGCCCTCACCTTTGTATAGCAGCCTCAAGAGATCTAGGTAAACCTGCAGCCACGGACAATGGTTCGCCAACCGCGGAGGTCATAGAACCACCCTCCGGTTTAGGAGCATTAGGATCCTTCGGATTAGCTGCAATCTCCAATTCTATATCATCGTCTTCGTAGAACTCTGGCAACGGTCGCCGCTTCGGTCGTTTCAGAGTGTTGAGCAACTGTTGAATCTTCGCGGATACCTTCCAACGACCGGTAGTCCCTGTATTGTTCTGATCCTCTACCACGTGGTAACGATTGACCCGATCGGCGCCGGGTCGCCTGGTTGACTGCTGCGCAGACGGTGTGTTGCTGGTGTGCGTTACGTCCGGAGGCTGGATATTGCAGTACGCGTGGGGCGCGTATTCAGCGATGTCCGTGATGTCCGCACCAGGAGGTCTCCTAGCCGGTGGTCGCGGAGGCGGAGGCGTGTCTCGTGCTGAACCGGTGCTGCTGGTATCCGACAATCCTGTGCCTGCAATTCCGACATGGCTCTCACTCGAGATGACTAACATCCGCTATTAACTAATTTTTTAATAGTCCAGGTACCGAAGAAATCTCGCGTTTCGAAGATAGCTCATCATCATCGTATCCTACGGCAAGTTACATAATTATTAAACGAATAGTATACCTGTTGGACCACCAGCACCGGGACTCTCTTCGGTGACCACGCTGTCCTCGTCGCTGCTCGATTCTCCACTGTCGCGACGTTCACGATCCGGACTCCTGGCCATCACGGAGGTTCTCTTCGACGGCATAGGCAACGATGGCTTTGGACGACCCTGCATCGCCGCCAAAGCTTGCTGCACCGCCTCCTGGCGCACCTCTGCGTGCATTCAGAGTGAAACCGTCAAACGAGTTCTCATCAACGTAACTGCTCTGTTACATCATTTTTTTTCTAACAATCGCACAAGAAAATCCTGAAATACTCGATGTTCGATCGAAAGTTTTCGTGTAAAACAACACGTTAAACGCGGGTATCGCGTGCCGTTTAAATTCTTGATAATTTCTTAAGCCGAGCACAGAAACTTCGTTTATCTTTTCCTAACCATTTTTAAAATTCTCCGGTTCGTTTCACGGTAAAAGAATCCTGGAAATTCCGTCTGCTTTTGAAGAAATAATTTATCCGGAATATTTGCAGAGGAGCAGCGGCGCATCGAATCGTCCTCATTTCCATCGCTACACGCGTGTGCACTCTCACGTGCTAATCGCACGAGTGCTCCTGATGTTGCCACGATGTCGTAATAACGATACAAATATACCGCGAGCGGAAATGCAGCGACTCGCTGACCGAATCCGCTCTGCTCGTCTCTATTATATCTCGTTCCCTGTTCTGATCGACGGCGTTACACGCCACGGAAAAACATTTTCTCCTCAAATTTTCTCGAGAATTTTCCCTCTAATTTACAGCTACGATACAAATAAACTAATACAATAAATTATACATTATATATTATACGAAGGAAATAATTCTGAGAATCGTTTGAATATTCAATGGTACGTGTGAACTCGTTGAATCGAGCATCGAATACTCTTAGAGAGCATATTTGCGTGTAACCGCGGGCGTACGTTCCTTGGCCATCCACTTATCTATCTCCTGCTCGTCCTCTTCGAGCGGTAACGGTGCACCAGGTGCGAGCCTGGCCATACTCTCGAGCGGACTTTGCCTCTAGATAAATGAAGTTTCTATGCGGGCTTTATGCAGAAAGAACCGTTCGTTCGGTTTTCGTTCCGTTTCGACGAGCACCAAGCAGCATGCCAGCTTCTAACCTGAGGAAAAAGCTTATTTTTCGAGCACGTCGACTGACGCATCGATGCCAGTCAACGGTGTTATCAAAATGGTTTATCGCTATCGATTTGTATTTATTGTCAGCGTTTAAAGACGAACCAGCAGGAAATCGAAAGGATTCTGAAATGCACTATCCGACGAATCGGCGTAGCTTTTATGATACGCTTCAAATTAGTGGTGGTACCGAGGCAGGAAACGCTTTATCAAAGAGCTGAGACCGGTCGCACCGAAAGCGCATTCCTTGCACTCGCGAAGCATGTTTCCGTGTACAAAGCTTAATCGAGCTTAATGTGCAGCGCAATTATTCAGACGCGTAGAATCTAGCGAAATTTCCTTTATTTTTCTGATATCGTTTACGTATAATTGTCGTGCGACTTACTCTCGATCAATCGCTGAAATCTTCGCTTTTAAACGTCGACTGTACGCATATGGGACTTTATTGATCGAGAGTCTGTCGCGTCTCTAGTTTCTACGGTTGCTGGATTAACCCTTGGACAACGACCTCCTTGTTAATTCTCCCATAAAATGTAAGTGTCTTCAAGCGGTTGCCTCGACAAGGCTTCAACCAGTTGAATTCCGCCGTACTGATATTTAAGCCTAAGTATTTCATACACTATTTCAATTCTTCTCCTCGAAGCTGTAACAAAGCTGAACGCACACTATCGCACCAACGACAAAAGGGAAACTCTTACAAAGCACGCTCGCCTCTCGCAGAAGAGTTTAACGATCGAAGGGAAAAGGGCCAAGGTGAAAAATAAAAAGCAGAAAATAAAGCCGTTTCGTATCGTAACATCAGGGGCTATAGTTCGAATAAACAAAAGGATAACGCATGGATGAAATCGTCGTCCAAAGGGTTGACACACGTTCGCTGTTGCTCACTCGATATCGCGTGCTCGATCGGGCAACGATTGCGGCGCACAGCGAACGTGTTAAGTTAAGGAGTCGTTAACAGGCTTCTTCTGGTCGTTTGAAAATGGTCCAGCTTTGATGTACTCACCGGAATGATAGCGGCTCTCATTGCGCGTCAGTCTGCGATTGCCGCGTCTCGCAGCCGCCGAGTTCGAGTTCCCGGTGTTTCCGGTGGAGCCGCCAGATCCCGGGGGACTGGCAATCCCGCCAGGTACTAGCCGGCCTCCTGCATGCAACACAACAACAACAACGCCACATAGACAAAGAAAGGAGATCTACCAGGATCGGCAAGGAGCTACGATCTTTTCTTCTATCAGCTACGGCTGACTATATCGTTTTAATATGTACAAAGAAACGATACACTTTGGAACCGTGTTGTTATGCTTGTTTTATGAGGTAAACGCACTAGCAGGATAAACTTGCTAATTGAACAAATGGATTCCAGAGATTGCAATTAAAAAGATTGTTATTAGCTCTGTGCTCGAACGATGACAAAAATCTATGATGCTTGCAAAATTACACCCACAACCTTTGTTCATTAACATTAACAGTGTAGATACTAGTGCAAGGGGCATTGCTATTCTGTGAATGTATTAGCTCTAATCACAAAAATGAACGTAATTACAGTCGAGTGATTTTAAGGGAATACAAAGGGAATCGTTTCTTTCGGACAGGCTTTTGTACAGGGCGCCGTATACGATCGGTCGTTCCACCTTCGGAAACTGCGACGAACGATTTCACTTTTATCGATTGTTCGCAGGTCTGCAGTAGCGCAGGGAGGTCGGAAGAGGAGGTAGGCTGTGAGGCGACTTAATCTCGGCAAAGGGACTACCTTCGCGTAACCAGAAGAATTCTACACCAGCTCTTAACCCTTCTATTAACCCTTTGTGATCTATATTTCTTTTCTTAGACGATCAATCAAAAGTCTTGATTATATTTCATTAATAAACGCGTTAACCCTTTGCAGTGCTGTGGCGAGTCAGACTCGACGTCGCCTAACCCTATCGAACCCTAAATGAGTCGGTGCATTTTTCAGACTGGTTATCAGAAATAAATGAGAAGAAAAAATAATAGAAAAAAAAATACAGAATATCTCGTGAGCCATCTTTAATGAGTCAAAAATAATTTTAGATGGCAATGTTTTATGATTTAACCATTTATAGGGTGTTTCAAAAACGTTGTATATCGTGCAATCTCTTTTGAGACACCCTGTATATGGAATTTTCGACGTTTGCGGGGGCGTATCGTTGAATCGGCAATGTTCCAGCCGATTGACAATCAATATGTAAAAAAAATCAAGGCATTTGCGGATAGAATGCCTCGAGGAATGGCTGCTTGCTATCTCGAGTCACCCGAAGGTGGAACAACCGGTCCCGGCTAAATCAAATTACAAAGGTATCTAAAGGTATAAAAGCGTCTCTGCTCGAATCGGTATACACGCACGAGGGATTACAAAAGCAAGCGAGCTACATCAAGGTAAAAGACAATGACGACTAATCATTGATGAATCGTGAAACGTGAAATGATGATGGCTTGAGTTATGATTCGATCATGTGTCCCTCTGCGAAAATTTCATCAATTTTTCAGAGGGAACGTGAAAAATGATTAACTTAATTGAAACTAAAGAAGTGAATTGACTAAATTTTAATTTTATTTACACTATTACTCGTAAGTATCTGGATACTTGATAAAAAACTGTGTAAAAATCAATCTTTTCCCAATGCGTGCAATAAAAATATCCAGATAATTAGGAACAATAATGCACGTGCGTTTATAAAAATCTAAACCGTGCACAATTTACAATGGGCGATCAATTTACTAAAACGATCGTACACGCTATTTACACGATACTAATTTCACTAATTGAATAATAATATACAATTTTCTATGAGAAATCTGATTTCCAGTAGTCTGATTTTGACTTGATTCAAAGATCAACAAGCATTTATCATGAGAAGGCTGTCGTTTGATTGGATTCGCGAAAAAAAGAAAAAGGAAAAATTTTCGCCAACGAGCAGTCGAAGCAGATGCAGTGTTCGTGAAGTGCGAACCCCGAGGGTCCCGTCGCTTAATTAAGAGACGAGGACCAACGGCATCGCAATTATCCAACGAGTACTCGACAGCTTGTCAGCTATTCACGAATCCTCGTCTGCTGCTTGCATTTCTCATAAATTTCTCTTATTTCGCGTGTAAAAACAATCCTTCAATAAATATCTTCATTCGAGAACATTTACGAATCGTTTACACCTTTCCTCCCGAATTGATCCTTATTTAATCAAGCTTACTCCAAATAAGCCACGATCCGTTGATCGAAATAAAGTTTATAAAATAATACACTGGAAATCAGATTTCGTATTCTCCTTTTTGGTCAGACGAAACACAGGACTAAACGACAAAGAAAAACGAACAAAGGGGGTAAGAACAAAAAACCATCTGATCGTTAAAAAACAAACACTGAAAACAGAAGATTCTACACAGATCGAAATAAAAATGAATAAAGATGGAAAACAGTCCAAAATGCACACTGCTCGATGAACGTACCAACATTTGTAGTCTAACGAGAAATATATTTCTACTAGCGAAGTAGCTAAGTAGATCCTGTTTTCATCCGCAGCTAAAAATTCTAATTCTCTAGGCGTGTTACGAATAAACAACGAAAGGTAAAATAAAATGGAGGAATGAAAAAATGAATATGTTTGAATCGTGCAATGGGTCGCGCTACCTGAATGATAGCGCTTCTCGTTGTGCGTGACACGGCGTTGCGTGCGACGTGCACGTGGCTGCGGTCGGCCACCGACGCCGACGCCGACGCCGATACCCCCAACGACACCACCACCACCACCTCCACCACCTCCACCGCTTCCATAACCCGTTCTCTCCACCCCTGTGATACCGAGGACGCAGACACCTCCACCTCCTCCACCTCCTCCTCCATCGTTTTCAGCCCCTGTGTGTCACACACGCGTGCATATGCAGAAAAAAATGCCACCCTCCTTTTTCCAGACTCTTCTCGTTCCGATTCTCAGGGCAAGGGGAAACTTGCTTTGTTTTCCATTCGGTGTTCGTTTCCACCGGTATACCGTAGATTTAAAATATCGCAAAATAATATCTATATACATAGCAAAATTATAGAGTCACTATTTATAAACGGAGAATAGAAGAAAACAGCGAGTTTTGATGCCAAAGGAAACGTTTAGAAAATCGCGAATGGAGCGTGACTTGAAGTAACTGGAAAACTGTCTTTACTCCGTGTCGCGCACACGACAATAGCAGATGTACATCGCGTATAACGAGCGGATAACGCGGAAGTGGCTCTTCCGCATGCAGGTACAGTTAAACAGTATGTATATGCTAGAACCGATTGCCAGTTCGACCGATTGCAGCTGCGGCCAAAGGTGCGATCCTGCTACTCGTCTTTCTACGAACGCTATTTCCTCTTTGCCTTTCAGGAGAAACGTGGAAATAGGATGCATCTAATATACTTTCAGAAGGAAAATATGATGAAGACATTTTCCTAAAGAAACGCGAAGGAAACGTATTCATAGCGCGTTACAGACTCGTTGGCCAATTGCAAAATTGCACATAGAAGTGTCAGGAGAGCGACACGGTCGTTAAATCGTTGGAAAAATCTGTGGTATACGGTCGCGCAGCGGCTACGAAGGCCTTCTTGTCTGTACAATGATAAGAAGATATTGCGTAAGAGAGAAGAAAAACCGGTGGTAGGTGACGGATGGAAAACGTTGTTTGAAACGATGAAGAATACACGCGCGTTCGCGTGTCCTCTTCTTCGTTTCTTTTTTTATTCCCATTACACGATTGCATCTGGCTAGCATTGTGCGGAGAATGCGTCAGGCTCTGTTGTCTCTTGAGAATCGGAACGCGATTAATATTACAAGAATGAGAGAGAGACCGGTTGTACGTCTGGATACGTGGCGCAATAAGCGAGATTATCGCGCGTGTAACACGGTCCACGAGGACGAGAAGCTTTACGCGACAATTTTTTTTTTTTTTCATATTTCCGGAAAAAAGCCCCTTATCAGAGTCGACCTTACGTAAATAACGATAACGGTGACATAATTTTCATAAACGCCTCATTACCCTGGACGTCTATTATCACCCCACACTCGTTTCTTTTATTAAACACGATTCTGATTTCCTGTAATCAGAAAGTTAGAAACTGGCCGTTGGTAAAAGTAAAACGTTCCAGTAGGCAAAATAGGAAACGATATTAAGATGAAATAAAAAAGAAAAAAATTGCATCGTCGCAAGCTTCTCATCCGGATGGTAAGAATGAAATGATGATGAGCATGACTGGTTCGCTACAATTTCTTGCGAGCAAAAGAAAAAGTTTCACTCACCCAGCTGCTTCGAGGCATATTGCTGAAGTAGACGTGTCCGTTTCTTTTCGTAGCCCTTCTGTGTAATGTCCCCTGAAACAAGAAATCCACACGAATAAACTAACAGCATGCAATTTACATAGATTGTAATATGCATAGTCCAAGGATCGTTAAAGAAGAAAAATCATAAGGCGAGAGGTTAAAGGAGCGCTATAACACTTTTCCATCATCGAGTAATTAAATAACAAGGATTTTAACGATACTCGTTAGGATATTGCAGTATTGGATCGTCTTGGGAATCGTATTCCTCGGTAAATTTCATTTGTCACGTTTGGCGAGCTCGCGTTTAGCCAGGTGTTTAAAACAGCGAGTAGTTTCTAGTAGTACGAACAGCTGGACGCGTTCACCGATCGTCCTCGAAATTCCTTCGGCTTTCGTGCAACCAAGAAATTATCCGAAACGAGATCGATCGCAAACAGGGAGCTATCGAAAGACGTCCTTTTTCAGCCTCGATGGAAATCGGTTCAATGGAAATGATCGTTGAGAAATTGAACTCTCTTATTTAGCTATTGCTCGGAGGCCAGGCTAATTCGATCTTCGCTAACTCTTTTATTATTTTTTTTTTTTAACTCTCCGAGAACACGCGATCAATGATTGCAGGATATCGAACGATACGCACGGTGGAGGATGGAAAGCACGATAAATTTTAGCGAATCGATACGTTTAGGTTCCTGTCGCGAGGGAACGGGGGAGGGTCATAAGGGTAGAAGAAGAAACGATTTGAATTGGTAATTTTTCGTCTGCTAAATTCTTCGAATGGTATGCGCTGTAAATGTTCAGGGAGCAACAAGCTTGCCCACGTGTCCCGAGCGATGCGAAACGAGTTGGCATGCTGTCGTCACGCCTCGTAACCCGAGAAAATGCCTGGAATCGATCGGCTAACGGCCGAGACACGATTTTTCCAGGTTCGAGCACCGGCACCGAACGAAACTAGGTCATACAGCAATATCGCTGAATTTATTTAAACGATACCCAGACCATGCACGAGAACAATCCAATTTTCCCTACGTCGAAAGTCGTTTGTATCCTGAAAACGCAAAGTATATTTGTGATTTTCCTTGCGTATCGACTTCGTAAAGTACGCAACCGCTTAAGGGGTTAATAGTCGCAAGAGTGGTTGCACAAGCATCCCCGGCTCGAGAGAGATTCTTCGAATGCTCGCGCAGGAGCATAACTCGAGCGTGCAATAATTTCCCTTGGACGTGTTCGCGTTCGTAGGTCCGCGAGAGGGCAACGTGCACTTTGCCCGAAGGACCAGTCGATCCGCGTACCGATAATTTTAACTAGCGGTTAGATAGCCCGAAGAGATACACGTTCGCTTCGCGATCACCGTCTTCTAACTCGCGTGAAACGCTTCGCTAGCACGCTGAATGCAAGTACCCTTCTTCGAGAAGTAATTGAACTTCCTCGTTCTTCTCAACAGGGACACTGCTTTACCATGAATTATCAAATTTTCACCCCTCCAGCTACTTCTATTCTTTCTACTCGTTTAACAGACAGAAAGGTCTATAAAGCAGAAGATTCTTGATGAATCCACGATGCAAATGAGACGAGCAACGTTTACGGATAAAGACCGATCGGTGATAGAGGTAGCCTATATAAAGAGACGAACGAGAGACATTGATTAGTCGGAGGTACGTGCACGGATTCGAATCGAGTTCAGTCTAGGTAAAAACCGCAATGAAACCAAATCGGGCGAACGTGTTACGTAATTAACATCCATCACGTGGAACCAACAGACGAAACGGAGACAAGCGTGGATCTATCGATCTAGAAACTTGGCTAATTTCCTAATCTAAAAATTTTCTGTAATCTTACTAGGTCTTTTCCTCAAGGAGGAGCACTTCCTGACAAGAAACACCGGTTGTCCAGAGGAAGCCTTTCGAAGCTGGGATTTTCTTCTGAGAGGTCTTCTTCGAAGTCCCGACCTCTGTCTCTTTAATTGTTGCTGCCTATGATTAACGTGCGAATTTTTCCTCCGTTCACCGTCAAACTTATTCGACTCGTTTTCGGTCTCGCTGTCACTGGATGATAAACACCTATAATACATCAACGAATCCGGCCTGGTCTTATCTTTCCCGTGAACAAGGTTGCTCGAGCCTTTCGACAGAAAACTGAGGAACTGATTGCTCGCGAAATAATTGGAAGTGATAGGTCTCCATGTGGTTCTTCGCGTGAGAACACCGTTGTTTCTCAATTCTTCCGAGAACAGTTTGTCCTCGTTGAAGTCGCTGATCTTTGGTGGTCTGCAAGCGGACGACGAGGAAGAAGTGGCGGAGAACGAGCCCAAAGAGGACGAGACTGGAGAGTTCGATCCACCTTCCGGTCTGTCGTTGAAATCACCGGAAAGTAGCAATTTAGCGTCGTCGAATTGATCGTCCGATAAATTCGACGACCATTCGTCGATTTTCTCCACTACGGGTACCACCGTTTCGGGAAAGTATCTGATCTCTCGCCACACTCGTCGTTGACGTCTCGAACGACGTCTTTCCGGTGGAACGAACCACACCGGGCTGTTCGATCTCGGTGGACGAGACGACTTCTTCGTCTTCTGTGAGGCGCGTTTTCCATGTCGTCGAGAACTGGATCGTCTCGAAGCGTTGCTTCGCCTGAAGTAACCCTCGCCGCTCATGCTCGGAGATGGTTTGGACTTTCTTCGGTTAAAGAAACCATTTCTCGTACCCCTGAAGTCATGTTACCGAGTTCAGGTTCGTGTGAGGCAAAGGTTCGAACGATGAAATTGACGAAAATATAATATATTGACTCCCATAACGCAATTTTTCTAAAAACAAAAGGAACTCGATGTTTTCGCAATTTCATCGTCGACCAGAGCGAGTTAACACCTTATCGCCGGAAGTCGTACTATGCGTTAATCCTAAAACCCAGCACGTTCGTTCCGTCGATAAGGTGTTAAAAAAACGATCTAGATAATAACCCTGCTCGAAAATCAGCCAGCCTGGCGATCCTAAGCGAAAAGCCAAACGCGGACGATGCATCCTTTCCAATAACGCTCTTCTCCGGAGCAGACACCGTCCTCGCCACTGTAGGCTGAGGTTTCCTCTCCTTCAAAGCACTGTCCAAAGAATGGTGAACCGATGGTCCAGACGGCGAAGGAAACGGTACCGGTACCGCGTCCCTCCAAATCCTACCCAAACTTATGCTAACACTAGGAGGTCCTTCCACGGAAGGCTCCTGAATCTGCAGAATATCCTGCTGACTACCGCTTTTCTCCTGAACAGTTTCACCCGAAATTTTAAACGATTTCGCGTGCAACACCGGCGATCCATTCAGCTCGAGAACTTTCAAATCTTCAGCCACGTGATCGGCATCGTTCTGCTTTTGAAACTTGCTGCTAGTTTTACTCTTCGCCACGCCATGTTGCCTGTTTTGCTTGTTCTGCTGTTGCTCCCGATGCACCTGGTCGAGTTTCTCCCGCGAGGACGAACTGACACCTTGCAACCATTCGTCGTAACTAATGGACTCGCGAGTCAACGTGTCATCCTGAAGTTTCTTCGCTTTCTGATCCTTAATGACACTCTTCTCGATCGGTTTCTCGTTCGAATTTGTATCGATGGTAGGAGGAACAACGGTCGTCGGTTCCAAGCTTTTCTGAAGCTTGTTACGACGTTTGCCTCGATCTAGATAACTTTTTCTTATCGATATCCTCTTGAAGGACTCGCTACGCTTGAAGGACGGCTCGTTGCGGTCCTTCTTGCGACCCACGAGCCTCCTCAAGTTCTCGAAGGACAACGGTCTCATCGTTCAAATCGTCGACTCGTCAGCTGGCATTTTATCCTTTCGCCGTTTCGTCTTCGCGATTTTTTCTTCCAGTATCTCCATATGTATAGGATCTTGCCTTGTCTCTTGATTAGTCTACACACCGATCAAGCTGCTCGAATCATTTGCAATATGAATTTTACGACTAAGCAGATTACGACCTCGAGTTTCATTTTCCTTCGACGAGAATGGAAATCTCAATTCCGTCCCCTTCAGCCTCGACTCGGTTTTCGCAAGTTATCGCGCAATTCGAAGCAAATATCCTTTCGAAGGAGCCAGCGAAGAATCGAAGGGCTGGTTTGGTCCTCCGCGAGTCCTTCCAGCCAGCCGAAGAGCAACAGAGAACACCTGAACCCACACTGGTTCTACTACCAGTCTCCTTTTCTCTCTTTCGTTGGTATCTTCGTTCCTTTGCTCGCACGATCGAGCGTTTCTGCGATCTTAAGGTGCAACACCGAGGTCTTCCAGTCGCGAATCAGCGTGGCTTTCCTTTTTCGACGCTGTGGCTGCCTCGTTCCTCCTCCTCCTCCACCTCCTTTTCCTCCTTCTTCTTCGTCTTCTTCTTCTTCTTCTTCTTCTTCATCGACCTTCTACTCTTCCCTTTTCGCCCTTCGTCCACAGATTCACGATCCCTTGACAAAAACCGTTTCGACGGACAACAATCGCATGGAAAATAACTTAAGCTGGCAAAGACCAGGACGAGGATGAGAAGGACGGATTTTAAACTCGACTCGTCACGCGTTTCAAGCGTTGTTCAAAGCGCGCGAAATCATCCTCGCCGCGTTCTGCCTCGAGGAAACTCGTAGCTGCTGGTTGCTTCTCGATAGCGGTAAAATCGCGATTAATATCACGGAATCAAAAAGCGGCTGGTTGCCGAAGAAACGTTAGCTCGTTAAAATGTTACACGATGTGAATTTTTCCTCTTTTTTTTTTTTCTTCTTTCCAATGCAAAATCAGAACGATTTTTGTTTTCTTCGTTTGATACACAACGTGGATTCATCTAGAGAGCATCTGGAATCGTTGAAAACATCTCGAACGATACTTTCTCCGCCCCTCGAACGATTACGACACACTTGATTTCACCCTTTACTCCGCCGCTCTACACCGCTCTCGTGTACTTTTATTATTTCTCTGCGCGGCGCGTTGGGAAACACGTATCCTCCTTCGATGGAACCCGATAATGAAATAGGAATTATGATTTTCCAAGATACTTCTTTCACTGGCTTTTCAACGTTCACTGTGCACTCGACGAACAGAACCAAGGAAACACGGTTTTGCACACGTTTGCACATTGAAACACGCAAGACAGTTCGAATTTCGCGCTACGCGTATTACGCTGAAACGATATTATTAAGTGTAAAAAACGACTGCTATCGTTTTTGCAGATTAGAAAAGCATTAGTGTATACAGTGCTTAGTTTGTGGATCAAGGCCAATACATAAGAGGAGAAAGGGAAAATTTTGGTCATAGCTCGATGAATTCCGCTGCACGCGTATTTGACTTTTTCCTTCGATTTCTTTGCTAACACTGTCAATGCATGACCTAACTTTTTCTTTTTATTAATTCTCATTAATTCGCGTTCTCCAATCACGAGCTCGTCTATAACACGGTACGACGATGAAATTGCGCGCCGGTAAAAAGGAAATTACATGAGAGAATGAGAGGGGAAAGACAGTTTCGAGACTGCGCGAAGAAACTTCGACACGCCAACGCGTTAGATCTCGATCGATCCAAATGTCCGCTATCTCTGGCGATTTCTAAATGAAATGTTGGATTTTCAAAAGCAATGCGCTTGAAATTTATGCCTCGCGATGATACCGGTTTCTCGGTGCAAAACTTGCAACGTTCAATTTCAACAACCTGCGGGTTAAACATTTCGCTGCAATATACTAAATCTTGATTTATAATTTATTTACTTATTACTAATCTTGTTAGTCGTTTGCGATACGCATTTTGCAATTAACAACCGATTTCCCATTACGTATATACATATATGGACGTCGTCCATAGTAAAAGGGTTAAGGGAATAATGTAGTCGTATTCTTCGCCCACGTGAAGCTATTTCACAAGCTTTACTCCTTTCGATCGAATTCCTGCGACACTTTGTCGACACTGAGGTCTACTCTTCCCTTCTGATAAACAATGCATTCTTAACCCTCGGAGTCGAAGCACCGCCATTCGAGGGTTAACATAGAGCACGTATATACGTTCTTTAACCAAATACCAACAAACTAATAATAATCCATAGTATCGTAACACGAGCACCGAGTCCTTGATATTTTCACGGGAAAATTATCCATTGTACGTAAACACCGTCGTAGTTATGGCAAAATAAAGACAAAGGTATATGCTTTAGACAGAGAGAGAGAGAGAGAGAGAGAGGGGGGGGGGCGCAGACTACAACAGAGACATTCATAGTAGTACCAGAATACTATTTACAATAATATTACTATTATGCAAAGGATGAATAAGAAGAAGTAGATGCGGTAATACTAGCGGCACTAGTAGTATAAGCAAGGAAGAGAGTAATGAGCGCGGCCGGGCCGAGGGAAAAGCAAGGACGATAGCAGCGTAGGGTAGGGTCGTATAGCGTACTCGCGACGCGGGTCCACCCTTATCGCGTATCGTAGGGCAGAGGAACGAACATCGATGAAGCCACGGTACCCTCGTCTACCGAGGAGAGAAAAACTGTCGGGTAGTGCGCGTAGTCGAAGTCGCGTCGAATCACTGGCATTTCGCGAGCTCTCGACGCTGCACCTCTCCCTGACTCACGGAGAACCACCGCGGACCAGAGAGACGGAACAAGACGTGAAATCTAAAGAGGAAGCGAGATGGAAACAGGCCGAGAAGCGGGGCCCCGTGAATAAAAGTCACGCCGCTAGAAGGAGAGGGAGAGAGCTGGGAGAGACGAGAGAGGTAAAGAGCGGATAGTGGTGGTATGCCGTCCGTCCACTCTCGCCTTGCACACCACAACTCTGTTCTCTTGCTTCTCTTGCAGCATCCCACTCTCTTTCTTTCTTTCTCTTTGTCTCTCTTTACCTCCTCTAGCCTCTTCCATTCCTTTCTTTCTTTCTTACTCTCACGCCCACCTTCCACGGACAATCTCCTCCTCTTCTATCTTGTACGCTTACCTCGCGGCTTCCAACCCCCCCTACCATTCTACCCTTCGATTTTCTATCTTATTTTCATGTTACACGGTTGGTACCACTCTCTGTCCCACTCGCGGGCTTTTCTAACCTCCACCCATACGGGAGTTTTCTTAAAGGCGGACTCGCAAAGATCGTGAATCGGATAGAGAATCCTCCAGCGATGCGAATGATGCCCTCGCGAGACCAACATCAAGAGGGGATTTTTACAGCGAATGGTACGTTTCCCGTACACTAGTACCTGCGCACGAACGTGCCGGGATTCGATGCGTTCGATTGGTGAACGATACACACCCGTATCGCGTAGTAAAAGTTTTACTATTATTGCTTGAAGACTCGTGATACGTGGGCACGTTGTTACCAATGTGGAACAACTATCTATTTCTACATATCAGGTTCCCCTAGTGACGAGTAATATTCGTCTTCGGAAAATGACCCGCCCAATAGCCACGCAACGATTGTACAGTTGCGTGAAAAAATGAATGAGCACGGAACGCAGCCTCCCACCATTCGTCTAACTCACTAGCGCCTCGTTTCGGCAGAGTTCGGTTCGCGTCGGCAATTCGGTTACCCCTTCCACCGCGCTATAGAACGAATCAGGCGAATAGCGGTGGCATGAGGCTCCTCCCTCTATACCTTCATTTAACCAGGGATACCCATCCTTGCCCGCGAGTGTATCAATCTAATGAATGGCATTAGGAACAGAAATTAATTTGGAATTTATTATAACACGCTTTAAGTTGAAATTCGCCTTCTAAGGGTACACTCACAATATTCAGCGTAGTATATAAAGCTTGACGAAAATGAAGGTGAGAAATTAGCAAGGAGTTAAGGTTTAATGGTTAGACACGATCGTTACGTTCTTACGCGAGCATCGTACAGACGTAAGAAGGACTTGTTCGTTGTACTTCAACTACGCCCGACGTCGTAAAGTCTGTTCTTTAACGGGGTGCTTTACGAGTACCTTAACCTTTGTGGCGAATAATTAGAACCAGACGAAATATAAAATTGCTTTTATTTCACATAGTATTCCGATACAAAAATGTAATAAATGAAATGACCTAATCATTTTCGAATCGAGAATCATAAAAAACTAGCGTCGATGAAGATTCTCAATTAGGAAAACGTTCAATTCCCTCGAGAACTTTTTCCATCCGATTGAAAAAATGGAAGCAACGACCGTAATAGAGAGGGAAAAGGATCGACGTTCGTTTTACCAGGGAAAAAGCTTTAAATTGACGGCTTGATTGCTCGATGCTCTTCGACCTCCCATTCCCCTGCTTTCCAAGAGCATCTCGTGCACGCGTTCTTACTTTCCACGAATACAAGCCGAAACGCTCGCCCGCCCACGTTCGATCCATACCGTGCAAATCGACCACTTCCAGTAGAAAGTACAAGAAAAAAATCAGCGACATCCAGTAGAAAGTATGGAAATCCTAAAATAAAACTTTGTCGCGATCCGACCGTAGGGTTAATCCTGACCGGGAGGCGTGACGAAAAAAAAAGAGAAGAACAAGAATTTTTGAATGCCTCGACGTTTGTTTCTGTCTCTGAAAAAGAAGCGTTTCGAGGCTTGAATGAGAGATCATTAATTTTCAAGTCTAAAAATTGTCTAAAACTGACCTCTTCAAACGAGAATAAAAAAAGGAGAGTAGGTCAAAAAATTCATTACAAACAGACTGATACATGGGATTAAAAGACCCTTTTTTTTTTTTTTTTTGAATGCCCTGAATATATTATAGAAAGATCAAGTGAACGAGATGACACAAGCTGACCAAACACTCGACCGAAATTACAGGCACATCCTTATCGGTCCAACTACCAACCGCTTATCACCTTGATAACGAACCCTCCAATATCGCTGTTAGAATCCAATTTTTCGGAATATTACACTTCCCGTTTATCTGCCCGCGATTGATTTCGTACAGGGCTGATAAAGCAAAGCGGGGTATTATCGCTTAACCTTCGACTGAAATCATCGAGGAACCTTCCACTGTTCCGCACCGAATTTAAGCTAGCGTCAGTTAGGAAGGGATACACGAGGAATTGAATTGATACCACCAGTTGGAAAGGTATTGTTACGTTTCCCTCCCTAAGTGACACTAACTCGAGGTTCTTTGGCCTCTTCTGACACGCCTCTGAATTCTTAGGAAACAAGAATAAATAAAACAAGTACCACTACCTTTACAGAACGATAAGGATGATTTACTACTTGAAGGAGCAGAAATATGACCACCTAAAGAGGGAAAACAAATCGCCTAACGTTTCGTTACATTGAACATTGGCTCATTTTTCGTATAGCAGAGCGTTCGTTTATCGTGGATATCGATGTATCAGTAGAAGGTGCGGAGGAGGGACATAATAGCCGATAAACGTGCTCTCGTCGACGCGTGTATGCAACGAGGCGGTGCAACGTGCAACTCCAAGGCGACTGGAGGACGTTTACCCACGAAACCGGCGGCCTTGATCTTACAAACGGTCCACGAACGAGCTGCGACAGCAGCTGCACCGACACCGACGGATGCATTCCATCAGAGTGCAACTGCACCTGCTGCACCCAACTATACCGCCCTCCTCTCATCCCGAACAATTCTCAATTTTGGCTTCACTCTCCCGCTTTTATACCCATTAATTCCGTTTCACCAGTCACGATTAACTCCACGATTAACTTATCAACACTGGACAATACGCTTCCTCCTTACGAGTTTATCTTTTTGATGAAAGATGACTAGTCATTCACCATGCTCTTCAAGGTTTGCATCTTTGTATCATCATCGGTTCCAGTCGCAATGAAATAGGAAAGCTTCAACCCTTTAACCGCGATACAGTCAATCGCGACTCAAACTGTTCATTTTATTCCATACGGTGAAAAAGACTTGAACGACAAGAAAAAGTTGACCGTTATCAGGACCCTTGTCATTAGCAGCTAAAGGCAGACTTAATTACGGAACCCTCAGAGGTGTGAAAAAGGTATCGAGGGGATCGTTCGAAAGATAAAGTAGCCGGGTCAAATATCGAACGGAAATATGCTGACCTAGAGGAACTAGAAATAAAGGTCGAGAGGTGAAGCTTGACCGACAACGTAAATCGTCGTAACACCGATGTAATCGAGACGTGACGTCAACGAACCGGTCGATTCGCATTTTGTCGCTTCGATGAACTTCTGATAATGTGTCAACTGGTTGTAATCGAGAATACAAACATTCACCGATGCAACTAACATGAAATTAGATAACAACGCGCACTTGATATAATGGTAATAATTTCAAGGAAAATTAAACAACTGGAGAAGCAAAAAAGAAGTTTGATACGGGTTTACAATCGTTGATATCAGTCAAAAGGTTAATGTATTTTTCGAGTCGTTCAATTTCCATTTCCATTTTAGCAGGTTGACTGTCTTCGAGAGGACGGTAAAACAAATTTAAAATAGCTCTTCTCCGAGTAGAGACGGCTTCTACTGATTTTAGGGTCACCTTCGCTTTCTTAAGTGGAACTACGACTTTTCAAGCACCTACGACCGCGGTCCTTCCCCTTCTCGACCGGTTCAATACCCTCTGACTCAAGGTCAGCCAAGGTCAAAGTTCGAAGAAATCGTACAACCTTTAAAGAACGACATTTGTCGAACAAAACGCCTTATTTTACCTGTATATATGTATGTAAAAGTTAAACATCAAAGTGATATTATCTGTAACCCAAGGTACACAACCGATAATGATAACGCGAGAAAGCAAAACAGATTAGACCGTGTAAATATGTACCATCTATGACAATCGCGTGAGTTTAGGGAAATTTATAAGAAGATACAAATTGCGTAGAGATTAAAATAAAATTAAGTATGACGAGAGGGAAGATGACCAAATTGGTAGATCGCAGGAATCAAAAGAATGAATCACTAAAGACTGGATAATCGATGAAAAAAAAAGGAAAAATCAGCAAAGGAGGCTTCGTTTCCTCGGACACTCCTTCGTAACCAATTATACACGAACAGCTGATTAATTCCCTCGTTTTAAAAAAGCAATTACTTTGATTAATTGCGAAGAAGATAAGGAGAATGCAATTGGTCGTTTATTACGAAAACAGCCAGGCAATTCGCGTTTAAAGGGGAACGTTTTTCTTTTGTATCCGTCCCTTTTGGTATTTCCTGATGTTTCCACTCTCAGAAGGAAGCGTTAACTGCAGAAACATTGAGCAACCCAGAGAGTAACGATCCATGCTCGCATGGAAATCGCAGATAAAAGATCCACCTTGCCTTTAATTACAGCCGTCTAATAATACGGTGATTATACCTAGTATGGGTCAAGATTGAGTTTTACTCTTCATCTCTGACATTTGTCCCTTTTAATTCTTTTATTAGAGCAGGCATCTACCAAAAAGTGAGACTACATAAACGTTTCGCTAATGTTGATAAGACAAAATAGCTGGTCCTTCGTTGAAACTAATAATATGCCAACATAAAACGGTTTAATGACTCATACTCGAATCGTATCGTAGAATAAATGAGCCGACGTCTCCTCGTTACGTTACGATGATTCTATTAACGGCATCGATTAACGCCTCGATTAATTTCCCTCGTCGAAACGAACCGTGAATCGATTTAACGGAAGATTTATTTAATTGACCTACGTTCCAAGAACGTGCGAAAGAAGTAATGAAAAGTAATCCTCTGATTTTCAAAATTTCGTCGAATCATATTTTTTTTCTAAGCGGTTCGTCGCGTGTAGAATTTCTTTCAAGACGCTCGTGTAGAGTCGGTTTCAATTGAAATACGCACGAACGGGTAATCTGCACAATTACCTCACATGCAAATAAAGCCGTCGCGAAGATGAACGGTGACCCACGTCCAACTGACGTCACGTCAGAAATGACATTAAAATGTCCCTTGTAGCTTTACGTCTACCGAGTCTCGGAAAAAACGGGAACAGAGCCAGAGGCCATTTCTCATTGAAAACGTATCGATCAACGGGTTTTCTATATTTAGCTTATCGCCGTCTTTCAATTCCGAATTTACTCTCTGCACGATGCTGTGTCGAATCGTGAATTAACAGATAACTCCGTTCGAGTTTTAAACATCCAACGAGTTTAAGCAACGCGATAAATTACGCTAAAAGCCATGCTCCCGAGTCACGTGCGCATTTGCATCCCGTATTTTTCCACGCGTCAAACGGTCAACCATGCAGAAAGCGAACGGCCATGAAACCTAGAATCCCTTTAAATCGCCAGGAACGACGTATACCACGGGATAGGGGTTGCCGGAAAAACCGGTCGACTCACGACCTCTAACGATTCCCTCTAACTGTCGAATGCAAATAAGCGGGATCGTCGCGGCTAGTTCGAGTTCAGAGGCCGCGATAGTGGCCAAGTTCAGAGGAAACTTCACACCTGTAACGCTGACTCGCGCCGCCACGGCATACGAGACACCGCTGAGAACTACGATTATCTCCTTGACAGACTCGCTCGTTCAGCATCCGAGATATTTTCAAGAATCACTTTGCTTCGTTATGTTTCGAAACCTTCTATCCTACCGACGCGAGTCGAATTCTAGCTGACTAGATTAGAAATCCGTTCGTACGTCGTTAATTTCAACGGTCCGCGAGATTGATAGGACACGTTTGCTCGTAAACGATAGCTAACCAGCCACTGTATATACCTACTACGCTAATTTCGACCTAACGGCGAAAGTCGAATAGGAAATTTGCGTAACACGATTCGAGTGACGTTTCTTGGTTCTTTTTCTGTATCGCGTGGAGACACGCTGAAAGAAGTAATACGGCTTATTAAACGGCGAATACTTGACAGATAGGGGAATGTCAAGTATTCGGGGATGACACGAGAAACCGGTCGATAGCTTGTTACGAAAGACCGAACTCTACGAATACAAATAGACTTGTAGGATAGCATGTGCATTACTGCCGGCGAATGAAGTTGCAAAAAATTATGCACACTGCATTCCTTTTGTTTTCGGTAGAAACGTTTCATTGAAAAAAAGTCAATCGCTCGAGACATTTCGAGACATCTACAATTTCACTGCGTACGCCATGCAAAATGTCAGTTACGTGTTCCTCGAATTTCCTCCAAGACTTTTCTTCGAACTAATCTCTCGACGCTCTCTCGAGTTGTATATCGAACGATTATACGTTTCTTGTTTCGTGAAAAAATATGTTAATAACGTTGAATCTTGTTCTATCCTGGAAATTGTACCCGATAAACTAGACACATTTTCAACAGTGTACAAACAGGTTTACACGAGATTTATTCGAACATACAATCATACAGGACTACAAATCGAAAATTTGAAATATATTAAAAAAAAAGAGGATAGTAATGGTCATTGGTTATCCAAAAAGAAAAGTAAAGAACGATGAACAGAGAGGCGCGGTCGATAGGAACTCAAGTGTCTTGTCGAGAGAACAGACCCGATCGAAGAAATTACGGATCTCTGGTGTAATTAATGTTTGACAGGAAACGAGAAAAAGCCTCGCTTAAGGATGGAAAGGTGTTTCGGAAGCTTCTGTACGTAGTTACGGGGGAGTGAAACGGCAACAGCAAAGGTATTATCGATTTTATCAACGGGGGCTAGGGGATTCTTTCTCACGTATGCACGGGGTGAGTCAGAAAGGGTTTGCATAGCGGCGCATCGAGAAAAGCTGTCCACTAACCTTCGGATAACTCGAGATCCAGCTCAGCAAGTTTTTCCCGCACGTCCTCCGGGAGTTTGCCGATGTCGATGTTGAACTCGGCCATCACTAGGCCATCCGCGCTGCGCCGAGATCACCAATTCTCCAGCCGTACATACCACGACCCGTCACCACTGCTCGGCCATCTTGCCTTATACTGATACGAGGGACTGCCATTAGCTGGCGACACTGTTCGTTTAGACATCTACCGGCTAAACAGTTGATCCGCAATCGGCGATTACATACATTCACTGATAACGTGTATAAATCCTATTCATGAAAGAAAAATAATAAATTGAATATCAATTCTATACTTTTATAAATTGTTAAAAACCTCTATCGTTCTCGCTACTTTCCTTATTTGTTACATACAGTTTCATTTACGATATATTTCTTTCAATAATACCTAATAATTATGTTATAAACATTGGCATAACTAGGATCCCTGTCCGGAGTTGGCCAGCTTCCTTAGCTTTATTAAACACGATAAATGTTTACTGTTGCTTAATCCTAATTTTATGTAATAAAAATATTTAATTGCACAGTATATTGCATTTTGTCCCAAATGAATATTCGAACGCATTCGAACTAGTCACGAGAATGACATCTGTTATGCGACTTTATCTTTCAAGTAGCATTCCTTTCACGTGGAACTGATCTGTAATTTTTATAGTGATCACGCGGGCTAACCTCCTAGTATCTGATAGTTTAATGAAATAAATTTATAAATGATCATAGTTTTGTTATTTACTGTGAAAATATGGAAATACTAGAAGATCCAACGTTTAAGACACAGTACCAAAAATATAAAAATCGTGTTAAGTTATGGGAAAGTCGTTTTACAGAAAAACATGGACGTAAGCCGAATAAAGTATGTATAAAAATAATTTATTATATTCAGGATTTAAATTTGATTTGATTAAAGGTGCCTCAGCATTTTTATGTTCTAATGACAATTTTTTTATTTAATTTCACTACTTAGCGCCAGTAGTCAGTTATTTTCAGTCATATTTTATCAGAAATATGGGCAGTTTAAATCTTCCTTGTATTTTATATTTGCAGAATGACATTAAGGAGGCTGATATAAAAATTAAGGAATCTTACAAAATGTATTGGAAATTGAAAACACGTGCCTTAGAAGAAACTCTTATAGATATTACATTTTCTGAAGAAGTACAAGATAATGTTTTGGATAAAACTTTGACGCAAACATCAGTTGAAGAAACTAAAGAAGATAATAAACCTTTATCAGATGACAATAAACAAAATTTGGAAAATGTATCTCAGAAAGTTACAGAAAATACAGACATAAACATTATACTAAGCACAGACAATAAAGATATTGAAAATGTAGATCCACACTGTCAGAATCAGGATGCTGCTACTACTACTTCATTGGTAGTTAAAAATGAATGTACAAATATGAAAGGTGTGTGGGGTGATCATCTAAGTAAAAGCAATGAAATATATAAGAAGAAAGAAACATTACTTGTTGGTAGATCATCTTCCTTTCAGCTATCACAAAATAAATTTACAAGTTCTATGTTTGTGAAAAGAAATCCCAGGAAATCTTTATCAGCATCAAAAATCAAAAGTAAATCTGAGAAAAGTATGAATATTCAGACAAATGTATCTGAAGAATCTACAAATACAGAAACACATAATGAAGATGGCATTGATGTTAATAAAAAATCAACATCTGTATTTAATAACCCAGTGAAAGTTACTTACACAGAGTCTACATCTGGTTCACAGTCCATTAACACAATACAGCAAGTGATTGCAGGTCACACTGTTAGTAGGAACTTGAATCCAGCATGGCTAGATAGATGTGCTAAGCAAAATAATGTGGAATATTCAGCATTCGATTCACAGAGGCTTTCTGGTACAAGTGATTCTGGAATTGAATCAATGGAATCCAGTATTTATTCGCCTAAGGAAAATACCCAAATGTCTGAAACATCTAAACATCCTTTAATATCAGATGAAGAAGATTTTGTTTGTAATAGTGATTCAGAGGAAACATGGAGAAATAAACGCATTAGAAACTTTAAGAAAAACTTTAGTGATCAAGAGATTCACTGCCCTAAAAGACCATGTCTGGATAATAATATAAATGTTCCTACTATGCAGCAGCTACCAACTAACATGAATGTACATGGTGTGCATTCTCTTAAAGTGTCTAATGAAGTGAAATACAAAGATTTTAGCACAACTAATGTAATTGCAGATAAAGATAATGATAGGAGTGACAACACAACTATTGTGACAAATGTGGCAAATGACAATGACAAATGCATCGATGAAAACAGCGATACAGAGACAACTAATAAAAATTCGACGAATCGTCGTAAGGTTCGCAGAAGAATTAAGCATATTTCTTCCGATGATTCTGATCCCGATTTTAATGAAAATAATAAAGTGGAAGGAAAGAAAAAAGAGAAAAGCTCAAAGACGAAACGAAAAAGTTCAACGAGAAAGAATAAATCTACAAAAGAACCAACTTCAAAACAAGAGAAAAACAGTACATTTAAAACCAAAAGAACTTCTAGAAAGAAAAAGTATGTACAAAGCGATGATGATAACTTTTTAGAAAATGGTACTACAGACCTAGAAACAACTGATAAGGGCTCTGAAATATATGGAGTAGAAACGTTACAAGCTGTTCCACGATTTTCAATAAATATGTCTAATCAAGGGGATCTGATCGAACAGTGTACCAAATCTGTTTCTTCAACAGCTACTAATTCGACTAAGTCTGTTGCACTTCCTAAATCGAAAGGAAAATTAACAGACAAAGAAAAATTAGAAAAAAAGATAGCGGATGGGAATGTAAACGAGAACTTTGTTAGAATTAATTTGAAAAAGAAAATATTTGTACGTGGTAAAAAACATTTCAACTTTTCGAAATACAAGAAAAATCAGTGGAAACAAAGAAAAAAAGATCTTCAGTCGAGTGAAAATAGCTTAGTAGTAGCTGACTATCTTGAGAAGAAAGGCGTTTCGAATTGCTTTAAATGCGGAGAAGTGGGTCATTTTTCCCGAAACTGTCCAAATAGCAATACCGACGATTTGATACCATTAGGAGAAATAGACGATGGTTCTGAATTCCTAACTTTGGAAGAAGCACAAGAAATGGCTAGTCAAAATGCACTTATTGCGCATGCTAATAGAATTGACCGTTTACCAGAGAAACCGTCTTATTCTTCTAAAGCAGAAGCTGAACATGAAGGAAAGGAAATAGAAAAGTCGGACAATGATGATTTATGGGAACCTATTGAAAACGAAGTAAGCCAATATACATCGACATGTTCTAATTACACATTTGTCATTCTCTATTTACTTAAATTTTTAGGAACTCTTATGTGGACATAAAATACCTGATGAATTGGTAACAAAATTACTGCCTCCAATAATTGACACAGTACAGCCATTGTACAAGCTTAAAGAAGATCAATCGTGTATAGGTAAGAAACTTAACATTAAGATATATTTATCACTTAATTGATACATCAACGGTATATTGTAATTACAGAAACGCCAGCAGAAGTTTTTGAAACACTGGAGAAATTCGGTCATAAAAGTTTTAAACCTGGACAAGAAAAAGCAATAATGAGAATACTTTCCGGTCAATCGACTTTAGTGACTTTATCCACTGGCTCTGGAAAATCTTTATGTTATCAATTACCTGCGTATCTTTATTCAAAATATTCTAATTGTATTACTTTAGTAATATCACCGTTGGTGTCTTTGATGGATGATCAAGTAACAGGCGTACCGTTCTTCTTATCAGCAGCATGTCTGCATACAAATCAAACAGAAAAAGTAAGAAATAACGTTATGCAAATGGTAAAGCAAGGAAAATTGAACATTTTACTAATCTCTCCAGAAGCCGTAGTCGCTGGAGAAAAGTCAACAGGCTTTGGTGCCCTGTTAAGGCAACTTCCACCAATTGCTTTCGCGTGTATAGACGAAGCTCATTGTATTTCACAGTGGTCTCATAATTTCCGTCCGTCTTATCTTATGGTTTGTAGAGTTCTTAAAGAAAAAATGGGTGTTAAAACAGTATTAGCTCTCACCGCAACTGCAACAAAAACTACTACAGAGAGCATAGTAAATCATCTAGGGCTACACGATGGAATGGCAGGTGTTATATCTGATATTCCAATGCCGAGAAATCTAATGTTAACTGTTTCCCGAGATGAACACAGAGATCGTGCCTTAATTGAACTGTTACAAAGCGAAAGATTCAAACAATGTAATTCGATTATCGTTTACTGTACTCGACGGGAAGAATGTGTGAGAATCGCTGGGCTTCTAAGGGTTTCTTTACAGGTATTATTTTGTCATTAGACATAAATTAGCATTATTATTATTATTTTATTATGATTGTTTACTTTTTAATAGGACACGAATAATTTCACCAAGCCTAACAGCAAGTTGTCTCCCATTGCTGAAGCATACCATGCTGGTTTACCAGCTTCCCGTAGAAAGACGGTGCAAAAAGCTTTTATGAATGGACAAATTAGAATTGTTGTAGCTACTGTTGCTTTTGGTATGGGTATTAACAAATCGGATATTCGTGCTATTATTCATTATAATATGCCTGGAACCTTTGAAAACTACGTTCAAGAAGTTGGAAGAGCTGGCCGGGATGGACAAATAGCACATTGTCATATGTTTTTACATCCAAAGGTACTTTCTCAAATTTATTTTCCATACATATGTTTTAAAAACCTAATTTGTATTTAATACATTATTTTTCATTGCAGGAGGATGGTGATAAATGGGAATTACGCCGGCATATTTATGCAAATGGAGTAGACAGACATTCAATTAGACGTTTACTTCAAAAAGTTTTTGTCCCGTGTTCGTGTGCAAAGATACAAGCGAAAGATAGAAATTATAGATGTCCGGGTCACGAGGTTGCTATACCAGTCGATGAAACGGTTATAGCTCTGGATATTTCGGCGGAAATAATTTCAACGCTATTATGTTATCTCGAATTACATCCTAAACGATTTATTACCGTTCTATCATCCGTATATGTCAGAGCTAGGGTTTCAAGCTACGGTGGTCCTCAAGCGTTAAAACAAGCTGCACAATCTGTGAGCATCTGTAACACGTGTTTCTAAATGTAAATTACTTTGATGACATAAACAATAAATTGATTCATTTTTCAGTCACCACCACTGGCAATGGCAATAGCACTCGACTTACAAAAGGGCGTTTCTCACGATAATAGTAGCGTTATTGAGTTTCCCGTTGTAGACGTAGCGTCTGCTATCGGTTGGGATAGCGGTGTAGTAAAAAGTCATCTGAAAAATTTAGAATGGAAAACAGGTTTGTTCGAGGAAATAAGATTTGTAAAGATACCCTTCGTAATATTAAAATATCTCGCTTTTGTTTCAGTTAATGGAACTTCAAAGCGGTCTAACATATCAGTACGGTATGATACACTTGGCTTAAGGGTAAAAGCTCCGGGGGATCTAACAGATGAAGAGCTAGATGAAGCACTTGAGACGTTAGTTGATCGTGCTCGTTTCCAAGAAACTGCAGCTTTACAACAACTTGAAACAATTAGTGCAACGCTTCATAAACTTAGCATGCCATCGGTCAAAATGTGTCTAGAATTGAACGATGAAGTAACCAATAAATCTAACGAGTTAAAAGACATTATTCGAAATTACTTTGAGGGAAAAATTCTAGTGGATATCGATTCCGTTCAACAAGTATATATTATGATTTCAAATATTGGTACATATCAATTCTATAAGCGTGTGTTACACAGTCTTTGTATTTTTGTTTCAGACTAAAGTAGAAAATGATGCACAAATAGTCTCGGACGTACGGAACCTAATTGTAAGTTATCGAGACAATAACTTTACTGGACGTGCAATTGCTCGCATTTTTCACGGTATACAAAGTCCGAATTATCCTGCCTATGCTTGGAATAAGTGCCGCTTTTGGAGAGCTCATCTTTCATGCAATTTCAATGCTTTGTGCCAAATTGCAACGAAAGAAATTTTAGCTCTGCGTTAAGGTAGGTATTTTTAATATTTAAAGAAAAAGTTTTTGTGAACTTCAGTTTGTTATAGCAAAATATTTTAAACGTCACAAATACGCGAATACTATGTGATGCTTTTTGTTTTAAATACTTTAACTGAAACGTAGGGTTCTAATAATACTGGACAAATTTTTATCGAATAATTTTATTTTAAAAAGCATAAAAAATGTAAGATCGGGTAACACTTTATTGCTTCGACAACAAGTGCCTGAGTTCACTTAGTTATAATATGTAAAATATTTAACCGCGTATATCAAAAGAGAGTAACTTATTTTTTTACATTTATAAAATAAATTGTAATACAAATACTTCAATAAAGTTGATGCCATAATTATTTCCTTCCGTCATTATGCTAATTTTTATGCGTAACAGTTATGAAATTTATATCGTTACATTATTATTGTTAGTAATACACATTCCCTGATATAAAAATTTTTTTCCTGCACCATTGCTACTCTTAATTTGTTCCATTTACATTAGTAAATTGGATTAGGCGTAGAATAATAAAATCTAAACGAATAGAAGTCACAAATAACTTTTGTTACTTTCATAATACTAAAATACATTTAATACGATATGTTCTCTTTGAAGCAGCGTTAAACGCTGCTCGATCTGTGACATGTGTTTCCATGGTGTTTAGAATAAAAAAATAATATACATACTTTCAATGGCAAGGTTTTCACGTTACAACCCTCTTCATGTAATTACACTGTCGCAAAAATTTGTGCATACGTATTTGTTGCATTTTCCCAACGCGGTCCATGCACGTTTCGTTCTGGCACAGGGCGCAAAATTCCGATGATATCGCATGAAATGGTGAACGAAAGTAAACGCTAGCATTTTTCAATGCCTTATTTTTACGGTGAGCCCATACGTGCAACGATACTTCAAATATCATCAACACGGGCAAAAACCATCGGAAACATAAAACGGCGAGGAAAAACAGGCAAACTGGATTTATTTGTCCAAAAGAGGCTCCAACGGGGACAGGTTCTAGTTCCATTAGATTTTCGCTTTTCTTTAGAGAACCGTCCTTGGTTGATAAAGTTTCCTTCACCTCTTTAGGGATCTAAAGAATTCTTATTTATCACTTATTCGATTACACACATATTGATATTGGAATTTCATAAATAATGTATAGAAATTATTACCTGAAAACGTATCTTTCGATTCTTAGTCATTTCAAATCCTATCACGTTGATCTCCGGCTCTCCCGTTTCAGCATTGTTTACCGAACTAATAAGCCGCTGTATCTCACAGTCGGAAGCTGGAACATTAATACTTTCTCCAGTTTCCTCGTCGACGAAAGTTCGGTCCATTTCTTTGTCGATATTTCAATATAAAAAAATACGTGCAGACACGTATTTCTCGTGGTCTCGTATTTGGAAAGGAAAACAAAGTTTAATTTATTCGAACGTATGGCCGGGTCCTTGGGGTCACTTCCCGGATACTCTGGCTGTGCACGCGGCTTTTATTATAACGATTAGAAACCTTGTTGAACAGGATTTTCTGGAACAGGGTAAACGATCATCTATTATTATCCGTCTAATCAATTGCTTTTATTTTACTATCAATCGATCCACTAATATTTCACTTTCATTACGATCAAGGCGAACAAAGAGGAAATAAAACAGCAAGGTTCGCTTTTGCATCGAATTAATTACTGACCGTGAATCAGACATTAAAAAACAAAACGATAACACACGGTTGCAATAGAAATTTTTAAAAGCACTATACCCATTGAAATTTTAAATGTACCATTGTGTTCCTGGATATTAACTATTAAGTAGATGCCAAATGGTCAGAAGAGTTATACATGAATGTCGGAGTGACCGTTTGATCCATATTAATTTCAAAATTATTTTTTCTTAGATCCTCCGGATTCGATTAGGTGAATACGATTGATCGCGTGCATTTGTATTCTTCATTTCCCATCGCGCCTGATGACTTAATACGAACAAATACCGAGCATAAGTCACTTAGGTAATAAAGGTTAAAAGAGAAACCACGTCACATTGCACGCGTGAAATTTTGAGCATCGCAAAGTATCAACGATGATTTTCGATAGATTAATCCTTTATAAGGCGAGAGGTGAACGGTTGAATTTAAATTACAATAGCGATAAACTACAATTTAAATTTCAGGAAACTAACCAAATTATAGAAATACATTTAACTTAATTATGAGTCCGAACTATCGCAACTATTATCATATGTAACATCTTCGAAACAGTCACTCCATGTGCAACATGTCCTACAAGCTTGGGCGATAACTGTACAAATGTATTCGAGTGTACAGCACATGATATAATATTCGTTTTCAAGCAGCTATTTTTATTTAATCGATTGAAGTTATATTATAACAAATTTTGTTTTCTTTTATACATACAGTGGATGGAAAAAGGTATTGAGACTAAAGAACACTTCATGCCTCTCACGGTTTCACGTTTTTCCCCCAAGGACTAATTATCAAATATGATCTTATGCAATCGCGAAGAAAAATTAGACATCATTCTCGAGGCAGGATTATAACGCTTACGAGTTAAGTTTTTCGCAAGATTCGAATCGAATTCTTAATTTCGTTTAATGGCGCCGCTGCAAATTCTGTCTAATTAACCGGTAACAAGAAATATAATTGCTCACGCCTTCGCGGAAAAATGGTGGAATTCGAATTTACGCGTCACATTAGAAAGAGCATTTAATAAAATAATTAATCGTAAGAAAAACTGTTAGCGAAATGAAAGTGTTTTAATAATATAACTCAATAAAAATATTGAATGCTTTCGCTAAGAATATTCCAGATATCAAATAAAGAATGGATGTCCGACTCCCATCACTAGGTTATAATTACGTCAAGATTGATTCGCTACGTAATCGAAGCTTACAAGCGATTTGTACACGAACTCTTACACAGTTTTACAAAACAATGTTATATCGATGTAGGAAAAGAACCTGATTGTATATAATATTATGAAAATTGAAAATCATTACCATAATTTGTACGGTTCCGTTATATATTATTAAGTTGTACGTAAAATAAGTTTCGGAATTAAGAAGGAAACTTAAATATGTGTTGTATTTATTGACAAAAATTCAATAAAGGATAATAATACTAATTATGTTTATAATCTTCACAGAATGGGAAGAAATTTTATAAGATTAATTACAAAATTAATTTTTGATGATGTAACATTTAATTTCCCAGTAGTTTAGTCAAAAAATACAAATTTAAAATTGTCAATCGTTCACCTTATAGATTATTCTTATACGTATGTACATTAAAATAAAGATTCGATTTACAGGTTAATATTCTATAGTATATGGTAACAATGAAATGATAATTCGTGTGTAAAAATAAAATTTAATAGCATGTACTTACGGATGTTGAAAGGAGTGTAAATACGTTCGTTGATAAAAACGTAATAGCTAATTAACTTGCTTGTAGGAAGATTCGAGTTACACACTGGGAATATCACGTCTCTGCGTTAAGTGGATTCACATCTGAACAGAATATCAGATTAAAAATTGCGTGGAAAACACTGTATTGGCCATAAAATATAACATATTGCAACGATCAGGCCGACAACGACCACACAACTCTTCCCGCACTTGTGTTTCGACTGAAGGTGTAAATGTACGCCATGATAACCTGTAACTATGCGGATTGTAGACGGACAGCGCCGAGCACTCTAGATTTTCCCGGGGAGAACGACAATGTAGGGAAAGTGTTCCATATACACGATATTCGACTACGAGTGGGTTTCCTTTGAGGAGGAGGAGGAGGAGGAGGGGGGGGGTAGCTGGACTGATTCTGAACAATTTTTTCCTTTACCAAAATCCACGTTAAGGTTTAATTTTTAAATTATTAATGAAAAACACCAGAGCAAGCAACTTAAACAGCGCAATTACTTTGCGCGTCGGTTCGTAGCCGACGCTACCGTGGCTGAGCATGCGCGTTGTGCGAGCTCTGGTTATTCGTCGATTCAAAATCAAAATTTTCAGAATCCCTGCTGCCCCTGTAACGCCATTTTCCCTAAATAAACAATCTTGAAAGAGTGATATCCAGAGTTCTCTTTGTTTAATCGATATACATGTAGTTGATAAATGGCCGTATTAGGTCTAAAAGGAAAAGATGTATCAAAATAAGAGTCAGGAATCCTTGAAGCATAAAGTAAACGAGAAAAATTTCAACGAACTATCCAAGTTTGAAAGAACAGACAAAGGTGAAAAATCGTTAACCGTGCTCGATGTTGCTTCCTCAACTGATTTGAAGTTCAGATGGTGTCGAAAACCTCATCGAAATTATAACAAGTAACCGTAAAACAAATTATTAATAATGCAGATAATATTATAAGTTGGAAGGAAATCGGGGTATGAACCTTTAAATATGTATACGTTTGAAAATTGTTATACAGGGGTAGAGATGAGGTACCTTTCTTCAAACCACACAAAAAGTTACTCGAAAAGATTGATTACAAACCGGAAGTTCGAGAACCACTAGTGAGGATACCTTTGTTCTAAGAATTTTGTAATTATTTTTATTTAATTATAACGTGTAAAAGAAAATATCTTTATAGACCGGATTTAGCGCTCAGCAAGAGAAAATTAGGAAACAGGTAACCAAGCCTGATCTATCAACCAAAATGAAAGAAGAAAAGGTTTCGGAGAAGGATTTCATCGTACCGAAATTCAAACCAGTAACAGGTAACGTGTTCGTGTGATGAAAATTTAAAAATCTTAGCGCGCATGCGCTATTATACACAAAAGCCCGGACATTTTTTCAAATTATATATAGAATTTTCAAATGTATATAAAAAGTTATCTTCTGTTACTTTATATTTAAAAGGTATAATCAGTTTTTTCTATTACTGAAAGCAGCCATCCTCGAGAGAAAAACAAAGGATCTCGATGCACCTCCGTTGGTCGATCAATTGGAGTTGATTCAGCAACTAAGGGATGATCCTAAAATTGGGTTTTACTACATGGTTTATGCGGTGGAGCAATCATCGAAATATTTTACTCCTTATGCATTAAAGTTAATATTTATTTTCTGAATCGCGTGCAATGTAAAAAACGCAGCTAATGAACACTAATCTGTTTCAGAGTCGTTCATTATAAAGACGTAGGCGATACTTACATGACTATCAGCGCCAGTGGCGTAACTCAATACAGTCCAGATGAAATGAGTTTCACTCCTATTGAACAGTGGGAAAGAGAATACATGTTTTATTTGAAATTACTTAAAGTAATTGATACCATGATTTAAGTTGTAGTTAAGCATGGTTCCCGTTGAGATCTTTTTCTTTCTCTTATTTGCATTCGTAGATAAGAACATTCATCGTGTTTCGAAGGTGGAAAGCTTTCTACGTTTGGAAGAAATTGATTACGTATAAAAAGTTTGTCGAAGCAAAGAGTTATATAAAAGAGAACCTCTTCACATCCGATCCGATTCTTAGTAAAGCTCTTCTCGAAATCAAATCGATGTGCTCGATCTTTCTTGATTCGAGTTTCTTCGACGATAACGTTATCGAAAAGTTTTTGCTTTTTTATTTTGTAGAAAAACAGGTAATCTTTTATCATATGCATTTTAAAAAGTATATTTACAACGAACAACATGGTATCCTTGAAACATCTTTTTATTTCAGTTCACTAAACTGGAATCACTTAGAAATAAGTTAGACGAATTTAGAAATTTAGCATTAGATATTGTTAATAACGCGTGTCTCGGTGCTCTGTTGCTAGCTGGTTACACACCCGATGACTCTAATATAACGATAGAACAAACTGCATACGGAAAACTGGGTATTTTGCACAAGCGTTAATATACATATTTTGCTATCAACATTTTCATACGTTTATTTGGGAACTTTCACTGGATTTTATAGGCGAGTTTAGCGCTGTTAAATTTAAAATGCCAAAGGACGGTATTCTCAAAATGAGTTACATCGAGCAGGCGCGAAAGAGAGAAAAATGTTACCGGCTTTCGTGGTACGTTGGTAATTTATTTTTCGCAGTATCTACGTTTTGTTTAATAAGTTTTAACATATTTATAAAAGTGTATTTTATTATACAGCTTTATTCATTTAATCGATTACATGCAAACTAACATGATGCATAATCTTTTATTAAATACCTATCAAGAATTTGTAACGGCTTTGGAGATTCACACGAACTGCTTACCAAATTCTGATTTATTAAGTGACGACGTTATTGATGTTCCTTTAACAGAAAATCGTTCCGCAACGAATCGTATTCAGGTACATATTTCATTTCCATGATAAATTTCAAGTTACCCTCGGATGGCCGACATCAAAATACGTCCCCTTAATCCACGTTTGTTACAGTCACCATACTTCGTGGTGGATTTACTAATTTTGCCATCTTCAGAGATCGTCATAGACCCATCCGAGAGTATTTTCCGTTTTGTAATAAAAACCATAGAAAACATGTGGGAGGAGAATTTGTACGCTATCAAACCTCTACTGTCCGATCAATTTTTCCATTCCTTCACGAGGTACAATAGATTTGATTTTCATCAGAAGTAATTTACTAAATGGAAATCGTAAGATTTAATATACATTTGTTCGAGGCCGATGATCAATCATAAGATAGAGGAGCGTATTTGTGGAAATCCTCCAGAGATGCAGATAGTTCTTAAACAGGATCCATTCTTGAACTCTTTGAAAACTGAATTGGAGCAGATTCTGGATATCAATTTTGATGCTGTGAAACAGTACAGTCAACGATTCAAAGAAATCCAGGAATTCTATCTCGAAGATCTGACGTTTGACGAAAACATTATTCGAGACAATCGAGACTGCAAATTATTCCGAGACTGGAGCATCCGTTACAAGCATGAGATAGATCTAATCCGTAAAGTGATCGATTTTCAGCCATTAGGTATGTTCTTGATTCAACTGGAAAGATTCAAGAACGCCGCTGAATTAGCCCCCAGAGGTAAATTAGGAGTCATCGAAGCTGTTATGCCTGGGTGAATATAATTGTTAAAGAAGAAATTTTATAATCTGTCATGCTTATCCTTTTTGAAAATATTCTACGTACCTATTAGATTAGGAAGAAGCAGAGTTGAAACTTTATTAACGACAACAATTGACGCTATTAATTATCTGGAATCTCATCCAGTAACGACAGAAGAATACGTGGAGTACATACAGTTCGTAGATAAAGCTAAGCAAGACGTGGACGAGATGGAATCTCAACTAGATTATGTGAAAGAGCTATACGATACAATGGAAGAATTTGATTTTCCTATACCATCTATGGACATGGCAAACTATTTGGTACAAATTCTCTAACAAACACCTTCGAACATACAATATCACAATCATTTTTAAAACTTTATATTAATGGTACGACAGGGTATTGGAACTCATTTCACGAGCTTACGGTTAGCCGTAGAAAATAAGTTAGAGGAGAGACCTAAATTGATCAATAAATTCAATGCTCAGCTTCATAAAGATATCACGGCATTGAATGAACAAATATCGGAAATTCATGAGGAAATAATGGTATGGGAATGAAATATATTTTTATAGGTGTTATCATAATGTTTGTTTCTTTCTCCTTAATAGCAACCTTGGCTTTTGGATTATGAAAGCAATGTAGATGCTTGTTTGAATACATTAAAAGAACTCGATGCACGATTAAAAGTCTGTGCAACTACCGCAGAACAATATCGAGCGTATCAAAAAACGTTTAAGGTGTCGTATCAATTTTCCAATGGGTGCGATTCATTAACATAATCAATGCATTGCGTTTTTTTTTTTACAGCTCGAACAGACGAGATTCGACAGTTTAGACCAAGTAATGAACGAATTAAGGTTACGGGTTTTGTTATGGGAAAGTCTGACTTCGTGGGAGGAAGCTGTTTTTGAATGGTATGCAGGCGACTTTGACGCCTTGGACGTCGAACAAATCACCTCGTTCACGATGCAAACCATGAAAAATATCA